TGCTCCTAATTCCCACTCCCTTTTTCATGAGGGTAGGGATTATTGTCTCTTTTGGTTTTTATATCCTGAATTCCTAGAACATACAGCAAAATCACAGTAAATAATGGAGCAGTAACAGAAAACCAATGTAATGCTACTATTCTAGATACTTCTAAGCAGATTACATAAATCAGCTCATTTAATTATTCCAAAAGCCAATGTGGAGAAAGAGGACCTTCTGTTATGGTGGTATAAAGAGGTTGAGTGTTTCCTCTCCAAGAAACAAGTATAAAATTGGAAAACTATTCCATCATTCTGGAAATCAATCAATGCAATACTATAATTTGAGAAGCATTTATTCTGGAAAAAAATGCTGGAGATTCAGGTAAGAACACTAGGGTTTTGTGATCTTGCCTGGAGCTATTCTCAACTCTTCCCTGCCAACAGCTCTGGCTTGAGAATGACAGCAGCAGTTAATGTATTTGGTACCAGAGGTGGTAGATTCGATTTGGGATAGGGGGAGAGGGCAAAAATCCCTGGTTTCTCCAACATAAAGTGATGGGTTTTGTTTAGAGTAAATGGGAAAAACCCATAGCTTTGCAAGCCTGAAGTTGTGGTACAAGTTGGGGTAACTGATAGACCAGCAGGATTTAACAGAAAAATCCTAGCAATTAGAGAGCCATGGAAGGCTGAGATAGATCTCCGCACATTCCTAGTGTACTGCAGAAGGAGGCAAGCATGGGAGAGACCTTTAGAGAGTCTTCCTGCACTGGCTTGACTTTTCAAACAATATAAAAAAGCTGTTGTCCTATATTCTTGAATTTCAAGGACACATTTTAAAGTTTAATTACTAAATATAAAGTCTGTATTTTTGAAACTTTTTTAAATATCAGAAACAAAGATTTCTAAGGTCTTTTGTGTTATTTGGTGGAAAGGTAAAGTTATTGATGGACTTCACTGTAATTTTCTATTGATTATGCATGTAAAATTTCCAATCATAAAAATAATGGGAATAGAATGTAAATATTTCAAACCATGAGGGAAATGAATTGGAATGGGGAAAAAATTCAAGCAGTAAAAATGAAGTCAGAAAGTGGGAAAACAGAAATAGTAGATTAAGAATGTTCCTTTGAATTTTAAGAATTTTTATCATGAATGGATATTGAATTTTCCTGAATGTTCTTTCTGCATCTCTTGAGATCTTACATTTTCCTCCTTTTATCATTTAATATGGAAAGTTTCAGTAAAGAATTTAAAAATGCAGAATCAAATTTGTACTTCTCACATAAACTCACTGTGGCAATAAATTCAGTCTGCTAACCCATGCCTCCAGCACAAGTAAGCAGATGCCCTCAGGAGAGACTCTGGCTCCAAAGTTTCCTTATCTCTCTGAATTTCTGTTTTATCTTTCTTTGGACAGGTTCTGAGGGCATCAATTCCTTGCTGGCAATATTTTAGCCAGGAGTTTTGTTTTTTTTTTTACAATGAGATTTTTCACTAAGTTTATCTAGCTCACCATTGTGCTGAAAATAGAAACCAAGCAGGCAATTATAAAAATAAAGAAAAGATTAGTTCTTTAATCAAAATGTGTGTACTCTACTTGGGAACCATTGGATAACCCTTGAGAAATATATTTTCAAAATGCTCTATGGTTTTAAATCACTTAAAGTCTGGCTGCCTGTGTTCAAGCGTTGGTTCTACATTTTCTAACTGTAGGACTCAGTTATTACTAATCAATTCCAGAAATGTAAATCGAGAACTTTAAACAGATCTAAAATTTACCGTCTGTGCACAACAAAATACTCAGGAGAGCACAGTGCCGGGAAGACTGCCGAGAAGGAGCCATTGCTGCCCTAAACCAATGCTGGCCAAGAGCTTCCCTTCACAAATTAATGATAGGTACGAGGTGATGGGTTGGTGTTTGGGGTTCACTGTTGTTTAGTTACAACTCTTTTAGAGAAGAGTGTATTTTTGTCAATTGGATTCTTTGGATTCATTAGAGAGAAATACTTCAACTCAAGTTTTTCAAACTTTCTTGAAAGAGAAAGTACAATAAGAGGTGCCGGATGTGATGGGAAAAACCTTGGGTAAAGAATCAGGACAGTTTGCTTCTAGTGCTTAGAAGCTGTAGGATCCTCAATTTCCATACGTACAAAATGAGGGTAATAATTCCTACTTCAGAAGGTTGTTGTAGGAGGAAATAAGATAATATATGCAAAAAGCCTGGTGCTAGGAGGGTTTTCAGAAATCTTCCTTCCTTCCTTTTTTCCTTCCATTGGCTGAAAATCTAATGTATTTATTTGTTTTCCTTTCTGGACAAATATATTCAAAATGGAGTTCAAGTATTCATGCATCCATTCAAAACTACATTTAATAAATAATTTTAAAGCATCTACAGTATGCAAGGGACATGCTAGCTCTGATAAAATAATGATAATAAGATAGACATTGTTCCTATTTTCAAAGAGCTTATAGTCTAGTGATTTAAATCTTCCAGTGATTCAGAGTCAATATCTTGAGTATAATTTGTCCATATACAAGGGTAATTCTAGTCACTTGAAGTCTCCATTTAGATGAGTTTGACAAATGTTTTTATATGGTCATCTGGGTCTCATATTGTGTTGTGTTTTTTATCGAGTGACAATAATGTAGTATTATTAAGACCCTCTGTAATGGCCAGAACTGGTTATTTAACTGCAGGGTCAATGCAAAATAAAATTGAGGCCCCTACCTCAAAAACTATGAAGAATTTCAAGGTGATGATAGTAGAGCATTCAGTCACAAGGCCGTGACTGTGGGGGCCTGTAGGAACACATGGGTTCTGCCCCCAGGAAGGACATCATGATGTCTGTATAGTGCTACCAATGCTTGGGAAATAGTTTTCTTTCCATTAAGATCACACTTCTGTGGCTGGGAAAATGTGAGTTAGAGAATCAGATGAAGATATCAGACAGGTATTTTATTTTCTGATAACAGAGGTGGGGAAATAATGTGACACTATCCAGAATTAACTGGTTGTTTAATTAGACAAATATTTACCGAGTGCCTCTTATATTCCCAGCACTGTGCTCGGAGCTGAGCACACACTGGAAAACACAGTAGACCATGTCCTGATTTTTGTGGACCACACAGTTCCATGTGGAAGACAGATGGTAAATAAGGAAAGGAATAAATAAATTATAGACTAATGACACCACTTTGAAGTGACTAAGCTGCACTATAATAGGGAAAAACAGGAAAGACGACATAACCTCTGGTAGTCAAGGAAGGCATCTTTGGGGGTGCGATATAATTAGTCATGAGAAATACATATGCCATCATTCAGATGACTGAATATATATTCCCCAGATATATTTGGTCTTCATCCACAGTTCCTGAAGACACTGCAGGGCCTTGCAGGTGAAATAGGTGTCTTGTCATTGTGATGAGAGACTTTTGGCCATTACGGAGGGTTTTAATGATACTACATAATTGTCACTCAATAAAAAACAACACGATATGAGACCCAGATGACCATATAAAACATTTGCCAAGGGCTGGGGCTGGAGGCTGAATCAGTTGATGGCCAGTGATTTAGTTAATCAGAAATATCCAGTGAAGCCCTCACAAAAACCCCTGAGAAGAGCTTATCACTCTCTTGGGCCCTGGTTCTCTGTTGGAGAGAGAGCTTCTGTGCTTGGAATTGGAACGCGGTCCATGTGCCACCAAGCCAGGTCCCAAGCTCCTCAAGAACAGAAGTTCCTTCGCTTGGGACCTTGCCCTCTGTATCTCTTCATCTGGCTTGCATCGTTTATCAAACTGTATCCTTTATTAAACTGGTAAATGTAAGTGTTTTCCTGAGTTCTGTGAGCCACTCTAGCAAATTAATTGACATAAGGGGGAGGTCGTGGGAACCTCCAGTCTGTAGCCAGTTGAAGCACAGGGGACTGCCTGGAGCTTGCCACTTGGGTCTGGAGCGGGGTATGGAGGGCAGTCTTATAAAACAGAGCCCTTGGGGACTCTGGTGCTGTCTCAGGGCAGGAAGACCCCTTCTCACCCTGTACACACACACACACACACACACACACACACACACACACACACAACACATTGCAATTGGCTCTGGGAACCCAAAAGGAGCTGTACTGTCACTGCAGTGTATACTGCTGTTGTATGAAAAAAACATAGGGGAGGGGCTCTGCCTAACATGGGGTTTCAGGGCATTGCATTTGGAGGCAAGGGATGAATTCCAGCTCCTTTACTTAGTTGTGGGATTGGAGGCATATGTGTCCTCTATGTCAATTTTCTTATCTGTAAAATGGTAATAATAATAGTATACACCTCATAAAATCTATGCTAGAATTAAAGGAGTTACTAAGTGCTCTGTTTTTCAAACTAAAAATAAAATCAGACCAGCCACCTAAGAAGGAATCAGCCTTGCAAAGATCTCCAAGAGTTCCTGGCTCATGAGACAGTCATTGCAAAGGCCCTGGGGTATTTTCAGAACCTACCAGAAGGCCACTGTGCAGAGAATATAAGCATGAAAGAGAAAGGTCTATGGGAGGGAATCTGAGTTTTTTCCAACTCTTGAGTGAAACTGTCAGCCAAAGAATTAACTTTGTAAACTTAGTAAAAGTGGAAAAAAAAAAAAGGCACCCAAATCCCTGGCACTGTTACATTACCGTGCAATATAAAAGCCATTTGCAAAGCCTAAAACCCAGGCTCAAAAGGACTTCTGAAATTAATAGGAGGTTATTATGCTGTGTAGTTTTGTCACCATGTTACTGTCCCTCCTTCATGTCCACTTGACCAGCACGCACCATCACATCCTTCTGCGATCCATGCGGCATAAATACAACAGACTTCCTTTCTCTTTAACAGATAAACCAACTTTCTAATGAATAATCAAAGGGTTACCAAATTCCAAATACCACCAAGGACGTACATACTTTATAAAAGAGGAAATCTAGGGGGAAAAAAATCCAAAATCCCAGAGGATGAGTTAAGACAGAGACAGCAACAGGCTTCATAAATAACTATACCTTGTGCAGCTAACTCTTTCCACCTCTCTTTGTTCTGCTGGATGATGTCCACCAGGTTGTTTTTGAAGCTCTTTAGGTCCACACTTTCAAGGGAGTAGTCTGGGAAATAGGTTCCATCGTTCATGGGGCCTTTCATATTGGATAGTCTAAACGATCAGCAGCATGTAAACCAATAAAGGTGTTTAAGCTTACAGTAACAACCAAAGAAACCAGAAAATACCAGGTTGGGATGTGGGATGAGGGAACAAAGCCTGAAACACTTTACAAACCAGCCGGAGAAGCAGCATGGCGGGGGCTCAGGCTGTTTTGAGCACATATCAGTGCTGCCTGCCTCCCTCCTTTCCTCCCCTCCCAGAGAAGGCCAGGACTCTGGCCGGGACTCCCTGGGTCTGTCAGGGATCCCAGAGTAGCGGGTCTGGAGCCCCTTCTATTACAGGGTGGCCAGGACTGATTAGAAGAGCAGAAACTTGAGGTGCACTGGCTTAGTCGAGTCCGTTAGTGAGCATCACTAAGGAGGTATCACAGCTCTGGAGCCCAAGGTGGAGTAATGGCACCTGCCCCTTCATCCGCTACGTGATCGCCAAGCTATCCCGAATCTTTCTCGGGTAGAACATTCCCTCAGTTTCCCCATTAGCACAACACTAAGGGAACCTGTTGGTGTGCTATTAGGAAAAGTGACGCGTTCAGATGTGCAAGAATTTAGCTGATTATTCTGCAACCATAAGTTTTAATAATATATCTTAATAATTGATCAATGAAAAATGTCTAGTTTGAAATACTCTCAGTACATTGTATATAGTATGACATGGATTTTACTCGTATTCATATTATCTAAAAGACTATCTTTCTGGATATACAAGTGGGTTGTGTTTGGTTTGTTTGTAAGTACACAGCACAACCAAGTATATCCAAGACACAATACATAGATCCACAGTGAAAATTCAAATAGTTTTATTTTCCTGAGTATCTAATACTGAGTATCGAATACTGTTACAGTCCTGTATTTTGCAATGGACAAGTTATTTTCAAAGGCAGATGCAATATAACATATAGCCACCAGGTGGCAATACTACCTAATAATTCTTGTAAGAATTTTCTGCCTGGATGTAATCATAAGTAAATGATTATTAAATGACGCAAAGATTTTAAAAAAAAGAAAAGAAAATACCAAACCTGCTTGCCCCATAGGAAGAAGTTTCTGCTTTTGAGGCTTCCTCTATAAGAGGAATAATAATTTTCTCTGTTGAGTCTGTCAGAAGGGAAAATGTTGGCTCTACTATAAAATCAATGAAACCTGGAAGAGAAAAAAAGATAAATTTAAATGTTATAATTTTATCAGTAACAATGAAAAGTCTCTGATGCACTGATAGCAAGTATCAACTACCATACTGATTCAGTTTACCACTTGTAATTATTTTTACTCTATTAACACAATCTTCAGAGGTAGTGTAACAGCTGTATAAAATAATCTTTCAGGCAGTGGAAGTGATACAATTTAAGCTTGCTAACTCAAGTACATTGGCTTTCCTATTTAATATTCAACCTTATACTACTGTTAACAGTAAATTCAGATCTAACCAGAGTGAATATATTTTCTTCTGTCAGTGAGAGGAGTCATTACCTTTCTGTAAGGTCTTTCTCTCTTGCTTGTTGAATTTATTATTGACCAACAAGAAATAATATCTAAACTCCAAAGAAACTGAATAATTGAAGTTTTTTCTCCAGTCACAGGAAAGCAAGCATTTTTGTTTCCTCTTACTAATTTATCAGTCATAGCTTTCTGCCAGTATGTTAACGTTTCAGTTGCTGTTTATTATTCTTCTATGTAAAGTGTTAGTTCACAGTGTGGGCGTGTTCTGTCAAATCATCAAAGACACAGTAACAGCTCTGGGAGACAGCATTAACCCCACCAGTTCAAGATGCAGGGATTGAATAAAGATTTTTACATTTAAAGTACACATATCAAGACAGAAAGTAACACACAGAAAGAGTGGGGCACTCTCCTCGAGGGACCGCTTACCACCCAGCGTTTAGGTGGAGAAGGAGACAACCTATTCTAACCTCTGCACTCACTTCATCACTTCATAGTCCCAGGGGAGGTGTGGCGCTGGAAATCTAGTGCTTTCTGCCTTAAACTCATCTGGGAGCTGTGGAATACCTTCTGAATATGGTAAGTGGAGGAAGGCTTTTTTAGTGTTAGTGTCCCTGGAAATACCCACATTTGAAGAGTAGCAGTAATTCACATTCCAAGTAATTGTATTAGTTACAATACGCATGAAGGCACATTTTAATTCAAACAAAACTTCAATAGTCTTGTGCTTTAATCGATGCCTTTGTTAGGAATGTTAGGTAGAAAAATAGACATGACCAGCTAGAGAAGGGGAAGATCAAGTTCAAGGAAAAAACTGCCCAAACTCTGCCCAGGTTGGGGGTCCCATTGAAGACAACAAAGGCTTAGCAGGGAGGGAGATAACTTCTTTGCCTATTGGGACCAAGCTAAACTGGTCCCACCCTGATGCCAGAGTGGGTGTGATAGAACAAAACTAAGGACTGCCCAAACCACAACTTGTCATAATCCCATTAAACTTGTGGTTCCTGCTCCCAGCCCCCCACCCTCCAACCACACCCCCATGAGCTTCTTTTGTGCATTTTGCAAAAAAGACATGCACACCAAGAGGAATGGGTGTATAAGTAGAGCTGTCAATCAAATAACCACACTCTGTCAATCAAAGAAGTGCTTCCCAGCTAGGTGGTGATGAATAGACCTTCTCCTAAAACTTTGCGGCCTTTGTCTACCTTGACTCTGGCCTGCTCCTCCCTTAGAGTGTATTCAAATAAAACTGCCTTTGTTTGCCTTGATTCTGGCTCTACTCCTCCCTTGGAGTGTGTTCAAATAAACTCACTCTGCTTCCCTGTTGTATCTCTGCCCTTCAATTCTTTGTTGCTACAGGGCAAGAACCAAGGAGAACAAACTCAACCAGTCAAAGCAATGTTAACTGGCCACCCAGGATGCTATTTCAAGTTCTGTCTATGGTTTTAAATGCCTGGGATATGGGGACTGTCAAATGAGCTGTTAGCCCTGTTAACATGGCAGCAATTTATATTACAGCAACAAGCCTCGGAAACTTCCATTCTTCCCAGCTGGCTTGAGGAGGTCCTCAGCCTGCTCCATTCAGTCATGTGTGTTGCGGTAGTTAGAAAAACAGCTATTGGAACTGGGTGGAAAGCAGGAAAGGCAAGAGCAAGCTTTTGGACAGCTGACCTCTGCTTTGTAGGAAGTGGTATCTGATCAGGTAGAAAGGTAAGGAGGCCATCATTTTGTGTAGTGAGCTTATGGATCAGTAATGAAGATGCTGGCCTAGGGAATAACTATTACAAATATTCAAATTATGCAGCATAGCAATATTATGATTAAAAATGGGCTGGACAATACAAATACAAGTGAAAAGAGTGAATATGGCTAGAAGCAATATCATTTTCTAAATTTTCTATTGTTGGCTTATCTACTCATCAGTTTTTTTTCCAAAACAATATGAGCTAGTGTATTAAACATATTATGCAAACTTAGTGATAACAGAAGAGATACATTAATATTTTCATGCATTGTCCTATGTACAGAGGAATGCACAATACAATAATTAGCAATGAAAAAATAAAAATGTTATCTTTTACACAAGTAGAAAGTCCTCTATATTGCTCTATATTGTAAAAGTGTTACAGATAGAATTATAATTACATTTACTAATATTGGTTTATTGAATTAGTTTTGTGGTAATGTTTCAAAATCTTATTGAACACCATATAGAACAGTTTAAAGATCCTGTTTATTGTGAATAAGTAAGATTTTCATGGATGTCACCTCTCTGAACAATACGGTGTATCCATTTGAAAACTGTCAATTACACAATCACTCTTGACGACCACCAGCTGTATTACCTATTTGTGACTGGGCCACCAATGTCGACTTCCGATCACAAAGTGGGGAAAATGGAAGCCCTAATTCAGCTTCTTTATCTCCCTGTGGAAAGGAAAGCTCATTAGTACAGACTTGGGTTAGAGGTGCTCAGGTGAAGAGCAGCCCAGATACAAAGCCTAGAAAAGCTGTACCTTTCATTTCTTAATTGGCACTGCATATTTATTTCTTTACAAAACCAAAAACCATAGCCCAATTGTATATAATTTTATTTGGATGGTCTCCTTTTTGGGTCCACATTGCAGAGGGAAAAGCCATGCACACTTTCAGTGCTTGGAGACTCTGCTTTGGTATTGCAGCAGGAGGGACAGAGGGCATGCCACCCCAGGTGTGCCACCGCGACGGGCACATTATTTCAGAATTGAGAACAAAGCAAGTTCCAAGTGACTCAGAAAGAAACTTTGACCCTCCCTAGTCCCACACAAAACTGCATACCTTAGATAGCTATGTTACAATGTAAACTAGGTGTGGTGGACAGGGAGGGATGTGGCTAAGTTTGTTGAAATTCCTCTCTGTGCCCCCTCATTGTTTCACCAAGTATTTCATTTATAAAACATTTGCTCTTTTCATATTACTGTGAATTATTTCCTTTTCCTTTGAAGTTTCAGATCCCTACCCCCTTTTCCCTGGCTCAGGATCACATACGTACCTCATTCTCCCTGACTGTTTTTGGAACCCATGTTATGGCTTCCCCATATAGAAGTAATTAAACTGTTTTTTTCTCCTGTTAATTTGTCTGATGTCAATTTGATTCTTAGACCAGCTAGAAGAACCTTGAGGGGTAAAGGAAATTTCTTGCTCCCCAACACAACCCCTTGATTATAAAGACAAACCTTTGCTCTCTGGAATTTTCTGAAGTCACCATAAATGTCATCTCAGTGTGTTATTTGGCATTTAATTAACAATCCAACTCATGTATTTTTCTGCTTTTTTTCTTCCCCATGCCAAATACATCAGCAGATCTTCAATATCAAGACTATGATTAGACTGCTTTTTGAAATTAAAAGCATATGAGCATTGTGAAACATCTTTCTCCATATTAACCAATTTTAATTGAATCTCTCACAGCAAGTTATGAAGAATATCCTCAACATTCTTACATTCTGTATGCATAATTTTATTTTAATGTATTCTTCCCTGAGAAAATTGAAATGTCACTGATTTTTTATTATTTGATCTTATCTATCATAGATTGAGCACATATGCTAAAGAATTCCATTTATGTTTAGGTTTAACATCATAAGTGCTAATTAGATTTTCATCTCCTAAAATAAAGGCTGCTCTGGGCAAAACTGCATCATCACAAGGTTTATCAGACCTTGGTGCTTTTCTTTGCATTCAAGGGGTTGTGCTTATAAAAGAAACTGGAGAGGGGATACTTCACTTGCTCCCCTTCAGTTATCTGGCTATTTGAAAGAATGCTTTGGGCTCTATTTTCTCCTCAGCTATTGGTTGTATACCTTCATGGGGTACACTGGCCTGGCGTAAGACCACAGCTCAGGACACGTGCTCAGGGTCTAAAATCAGGAGACAAAAGGGCAGGGCCTTCACTTTTGCTTTGTTGAGGAATCTATGTAACATGCAACCTCTGTCTGAGGGCATCAGCACTTCTGTTTATTCTGTTTCCCCAACATCTTTTCATCATAATCTTTACATCACGTCAGTGTGTTTTATTGGCTTTAAAGTTTTTATTGACAATGTTTTCTGGTGCATTCTTTCTACACCATGCCTCTGATTATAAAGGTGCAGTAAGACTGAAATCAAAATTGTTTGGGAAAACTCTAGATATGGTCATCAAAGAAGTGTTTTACCATGTCACAACTTGGAGAAAATAAGGAGACTTTCTGTGACTCCCCCCAGCACCTGTCCTTGTTCCCCTAGGGAGTAACAATATTCATTAAGAATTAATTTTTATACCTGGCTTAAGGGACTGATGGAAGGGCATTATGAGTGCCTTGGAGCTACAGGACACAGAGTTGAATCACTGCTGTTCAATAGTCTATCTCTGCTAATGCACACGTATCACAGCCCTAGCTGAAATGAATTCTTATCTGTTACCTAACTTGGTAATTTTGGTTATCATCAAATGTACTCATTTTAGGAGTAAAGTCATAATAATATCTCCCTAATAGGATTATCTAAGATAATTTATGTGAAGCCTGAGGACAGTGCCTAATATTTAATAAATAGTTAAATGTTAGCTAATAAGAAGCATAATTTGTAATAGCAAAAACAGAGAGCTGTGCAAATTTAAGGTATTTATCATGTCTAATGCATAGCTTGGATGGTGTTAAACCACAGGAGAAAGGATCAGTGCATAATTTAGTATGTAATAGAGTGACACTGGCTCTTTTCCCCTCTCTTTTCTAGCAAGGAATTGACATGACAGGAATTTCACTTTTGAAAGATTAATTCGTCAGCAGTGTGGGGATGGTTTGAAGTGAATTAAGCATGACTCTTGAGCTTCAAACCTGAATGAAAAGGAGTCTTTGCTGACACTAATAGAAATAAGACAATCAGGATGAGGCTACATTTGAAGACTATTATGGACTTGATTTTTAACTTGTTGAGAATAAGGTATAAGAATAATATCATTAATAATTTATGTTAAAATATAAATAATAATATTGTTAAACTAGAAATGGATTTACTCATAGACTTCAAAGGAAATGCAATATTGAGGATATTTATTGGATATATGCAGATACAACTGATTGATTTTATTGGTCAAGGAACTGCTGTCTGATATATTAATGAAGGTGTTTTTATACTGTGTAAGTCCTTGGACCTAAAAATGATCATTTGGGCCTGAAAAAGGCACTATGATGATCTATCTTCCATGAGCTAAATTTTATAGACTGCTGGATGGTAACATTTTCATATAGGATTTAGGCATTTGACAGACACATGCAGGATTGACCTTACAGATGGAGTGAGAAATTTTATTTGCTTCTTCAATTCCACAATTGGTTTAGAATATTAAATTTCCATTGCTAAAGCACACTGAATGCTAAAGGGCATTAATTATTTAATTTATATATTATTTCAAAGTATTATTTATTTTTTAGGATGAATAAAGGCCATGAGGGCAGGATTAGCAGAGAGCTCTATAGCCAGACTATCAGGGCACCAGAAATCCAATGGGACAAGGGGGTACTACCGAGGGAGAGGGAAAGATACGTAAAGAGAAAGTTAGGATCCCTCAGCACAAATTTGACAAACCACAATTTTCCTTGTTCGGTCCTCAAATACTTTCCATCAAGATGAAATAAAGGGTCAAAGAGGCAAACATTGTGTAAAATCAAACAGTTTTTCTCAGAGGTTGTGCTTTCATTTGAGGGTGCAGCCTTTAGGAGGCCAAAAATATACTTTCAGAAATCAGAAAAGTAATATGCATTATTATACACAATATGTTCTGGTTTATTGATTTCTATATGTGTGTGGAATTACAGGGCCCGAAGGCCCTAAACTCAGGTATGCCCCTGGATCTCTGCACCTGGTCTTGGGGGTGAGCCTGCGGGCGGGCGGGCAGGCAAGCGGAGAATGGCCATGGCAGCCTGATGTGCTCAAGCGCCACAGTTGATGCCTGTCTCTGCGATTCTCTTGGCAGTTGTGCAAGTTTCTTCTTTGAAGGCCTGTGATAAAGACCTAATAATTGTTGTTATGCTTTCCTAACTGTGTGAAATGTTCTGACAGCTGTCAGTCATCCATCAAATCCAGTCACTTAAGGGTACATTTTTTCTTTTTTGCATTTTCTCTGAAGCCAAAAGGGTTTCTATAGCTTTAAAGAAGCAAAGAAGATAAGAAAGGGTGAAATACAAAAATGTTGGGAAACCTTTTACAATGAAAACTAAGTGTTAATCACAGAAGCAAGACTGACAGCAAACATGTGGGAAGCTGCTGGGCACAGGCTCAAGCCAACCACAGGCCAAGGCAGGGCTGGACAGGCCTCTCTCTCTATAGGGGAATGTAACTGGGGGTCGGGGGGAAGGTGCTGTGGTTCTGTCTTCTTTGGACACCTCATTTAAGGAATTTAGGCCATCTAATTACCTTCCTTAATTCCTTCTGAAAATGGCTCTCCTAAATTCTAAGAAAGCTACCCAAACTGCTTAAATATTTAATGATTATTAGCGCTAATACATTTACTTTAATCAAAATTTATGATATGATATAATTGTATTTTTGTTAGCATTAGAAATATTTTGTAGAACATTCGTACCCCTTGTAAAATTGGTGTTTACAAAAACTTGCCTCCATGCCTCTTAAAGCTACAACCTTTGGTTTTTAAATTGTAAGTTATTATTCCAGCTCTTATCTACAATTCTTTACATTCAAGAAAACTTTTCAGTTGTATCTCTGAATTTTTTATGTCAGATCCTTAGCTAAGAATGTACTAGCTAAATATATTTTTATTACTATGGAAAATGCAATTTACTTTGAAATAACACACTTTGTACTACTTGTAGCAATGCTGAAGAAAATACAGGAGACTGACTGTAAACAATTTAGAATAAATAATCGTATGACTGTCCCTCCAAATAGCTTTCATTTCCCTTGTTCCCTTGTTTCTCCTTGGCTGACAAGCTAGTGCTTAGAGGTAAATATAGATTTTACACAAATGTTAATTTCTTTTATATGTCACAAACAACTAGTTGAAAAAGGGAAAAATTCACATAATTATTTGGTTCATATAGTATGAAGTATCAGTAAATTATAATGTCAGTGGCTATTTTTTAACTTAATTATATTAACTTCTTCCTACCTTGCCTACCTAGTCTGCTCAAGAAGAGAATAAGAAGCAAAAACCTGTCTTCCATTATTAATGGTTATTTCCTTAGCTGATACCTCCATCTCTAATCTCTCCAGTCACAGGAGGAATGAATGAAGCATCTACCAAATCCACCCATTACAGTCAGAGGGCAGAGGCAACTGAGTTGACCTGCACAAATACTCGAAGAGGTAGCATTAAATGTACTGATGAATATCACAAGCATGCTGTCAAACATGTCTTGGAGATGAAGATCTGCTTTACCTCTACGATCATCTGCTTCTTCAAGAGTCAGAAATAAAAGTTTCTCAAGAGTTCAGATTTGGGATACAATTTTGATTTCTTTGGCTATAGCTTTCCATAGCTTGGGAAGGTTCACCTAAAGTAGTTACTCCAAGGAAAGGGGTAACATTGATGAGATTTTTATACATGATACGATACTTTGGTTTACATTGGTTTGTTCCCAGATACACATTGTTTTAAAAATTCTCAATGTCTATTTAAGCCCTTTTGTCAGATAAAAATGAACTTGGTAGACAAATTATTAAGAAACTGACTTTGAAGTCACACATCTCAAAATTCCTCTGGGTTTTTTTGAAACATTAACTCATATATATGTACATGTACATATATACACAGACACACATATATGCATGTGTGTATTTATATGTGCACAGGCACACAAATTTTCTTGTTGCTCTTGAAGTTCTAAAAATCAGCTCTTTCTTTGAGTATTTTTTCTGAATTTTGGAAATTATATCCAGTCTCTAAACCTACTGAATGAATTCCAAGTTTACCACTATATTGCACAGAACAAAAGGAAGAATATTTTTCCTAATTGGCTACTTCTTAAACTTCATGGTTGTGTTGGGAATATATTTTTAAAATTGTGCCCAGATCCTTCAAAGTTTGACTTTAAATGACTATCAAATAATAAAATATCAATGGATCTCTGATACTTTGCCTTAGAAAAATATAAAGCTTAAAATGGCTGGGAGGGTAATAATACCAATTCTTCATATTTGTATTATCTCTATAGCATGGAAAGACCTCTTCCATTCATTCTATCATTTTGTTCCTCACAAGCATCCTGGAGAGGAGGCAAAATAGGGTTATAGGTAAGAAGGTGAAGATTCATCAGCAGTGTGCCAGAAAAGATGGAAAGCTAGGGCTTACCCTTGGGTTATCTGAAGCCAAGTCCAAATATCTGTTACCTGTATTATTAGGCTTCTTATGTTTGCCCAGTATACATAAAGTATTTTCTTTAACAAAAACACAAAATGTTTACATTTATACTGCAGCTAAGGGCAGTGATGAGCTCTTGGCAGACCTAACCTAATTTGCCTCAAATTCTCTAGAAGAGAAAATGGATCACATGGCACAATATTCAGATTCTTAGTACATTTGGAAGGGATGAAGGAATATAGTTACAAATTGCTTCATAAAAGTGCTATTTTGACCCTCTAAGATGAAAACCCCAGTTACCCTGGCTAGATGTATAGCAAGAATGGCTCTATCGGCACTGTGGGTTCTAAAGAGTTATGTTTTCAGAGGTAGTTCTGTGAAGATGAGCAAGAATAAAAAAACATGGAAGCACCATTGCAGTCCTGCATATTTCTAAGGCATCTGCATAGATACACAGATCCAGTTAAATAACTCAGGTGACATACATTCAAAGCAGAGCATGTACCAAGGAGTTTTAGATTCATTGCTGTATCCACCCAAAGGGCCAAAATTTGTGGTATGCCAAGAATAAGTATGGGTAACGGAGATTCATTTAGTTAACTAAATGTGAAAACATTTTACCTTTTAGAGTCAATGTCATATTTTAGCATAAAAGTCTCATTAAGATAAACTTGTTTTGCTTGTAAAACATGTTTGTGGACATGACAGTACAAACTCTCTTGTTTTGACCTTAACTTCATGTTCTCTTGTTTTGCTATATATGTTTATGATGGGGATTTGAAAGTCATTTACTACAAAAAAATCCAGAGACTGAGAAATATAAGATTCCATTAATAAAAGCTCAAGTCCTAAATCAATTTATTTTGATCCGAGAGGATTTTTGTAGTTGAAGAGGCAATGATTGCCAAGATAGTTTAGTTTTTATAATGGTCCACATTATCATGTATGCTTTACTCTCCATTGGGCTGTAAGTATCTTGCCCTACATGTTAAGGTCATTCAAGCAAAGGCTATGATTTTGAACATTTTGGAGTGACACAAATGCCTGTCATTGCTCACCAAGAGTCCTGCCAAGAAACAAAACAGAACAAACACCTGACACCTCCTTTATCTAAGTAACGTAATCTGAAAAATGCTTGCAGATCACAAAAACATGCCAAGGGCCATGACGCTCTACCTATTCCAAGACCTGACCTTTCATGTTGGGTGTATTTTCATCTCTAATATTCATATATCTGAGTCACTGTTTCCCAGACACTGAGAATGACAGAGGAGCTAAGGAGCCTTATGGAACAATTTCCTTCTACCATGAAATTCATATGCCAAAAATCATTGCCTGCTGGGAGCTTCATTATTAATATTAGTCATCTTTACAGAAAATTCAAGAATAAGGTGGTGAGGTTAAAAAATATGTAGACTCAATTTCTTTGAATTCATTACTCTCATGATTCTGTCAGGTTTTTTTGTTTGATTTCAAATCAACAAAAGGGATAACCCAAGTCATGGTATTATTTGGAGAGCTAATAGTAGTTTTCAAGAGTCTCTGATATTTATTAGATATCTTTTTTAATAGCAATTTTTTTAGAATTCTTTAAATCATTCATGAGGCACCTTTATTTGATAGACTGTTTTTTTTAATCAAGGGAAAATTTATGTATAAATCTTACATATAAATTATAAACACATTTGTGTAACTAACACCAATTAAGATATGAAACATTTCTATCACTCCAAAAAGTACTCTTAACCTCTTGCGGAGAAGCCCACCCCATAGAGGCACCCACAATTTTTGCTGTTGTCATTGTTCTATTTCACTGATTTCTGCTTTTATATTTATTATCTCCTTGTATCAACTTATTTCGCTCTAATTTTCTTAACTTCTCCTAGCTTATTTAGGTGGAAACAGATAACTGATTTATACTTTTGTTTTCTTCTAATAATGAGCTTTTAAAGCTATAAAATTTTCTCAAGCATTGCTTTAGCTACATCCCACACATTTTCTTATGTTGTGTTGTCAAGATCATTCAATTTAAAACATTTAACTCTCTTCTTAACCTGAGCAAAGTCATTTTATCTTTTCATGTTTTGGTTTTTTTCATCTCTAATATGAGAAGGTTATTCTGAAAGATTGCTAAGGTCTCTTTAGATTTACCATTTTCTGATTAGCAGTAGGATGAGTATATCAAATCATAACTTTTGATTGCCCATAATGCAATTGGCCTGTAGAAATGGACAGATTTTAACATTTAGCTTTTTTTTTTGTAAGCACAAAATGCATTAAAATATTTTTTTAACTAATTTTAGTATGAAAATCCTTGGAATTAGAAGATGCTATTCAGTAACTTTCTCTAGGACTATGCAATGCTATTTCAAAGTGAAACCATATATCATATCCATTAACAATGGGAGACAGAAACCAGAGTTATCTAAATATAGTAAAAAATGTCTTTATGTCTTCAGAATAGGCATAAAATCAGTGAGGAAACATTAAAAATAAAGAATACTAACATACCAAATAGTCTGAAAATACAGAACTGAATGAGAGAAGACTTTGTTATGCTAACTATATGTGTGACTCACTTGGTAGACCCCTAGATACCTTCAGGATCAGGGCTGAACACTAGAAAAATCAACCACATAATTAGAAGATTAGAACTTTGGGCCAGTCTGACCTCTTAGAAGGGAGAGGAGCCAGTGATTTAATTAGCCAAGCCTACGCATTAAAACTACTGCTATATAAACTCTGGACACTAAAGCTCAGTGACACTTCCTGGTTGGCGACCACCCTGATGCGTCAGGAAGGTAATACAAACCTAACGCTGTGAGGACAGAGCATGGAAGCTCTGTGTCTGGGACCCTTTCAGACCTTGCTCTATGCACATCTTCATTAGGCAGTTCCTCAGTTGTATTCTTAAGAAAACTGTAATATATGTTTAGCACTTTCTTGAGTTCTTTGAATCATTCTAGCAAGTTATCAATCCCAAGAAGGGTCATGGGAACCCTTGTATTTGTCCAGAAGTCAGAAGTGCTGGGGTCCTAGGGTCCCAGTGGAGGCTGGCATCTGAAGTGGAGCCAGTCTTGTGGAAGACTGAGCCCTTAACTTATGGGATCTAATGCTAACTCTGGATAGTTAGCATCATAATTGTATTGTAGTTCCCCAGGTGGGAGTAGAAACAGAAAAAAAAGGGTAGAGGAAAAACATGTATACTTGAGGTAGAGACCACTGGCTATTCCCCATATTCATGCCTTTTTTCACATAACAGAATTTTCCATTAGGCACATGTCCACCCATTTAAAAACTATATTTCTCATCCTCCCCTGCAAGTATGCATATATGACTAAATTCTAACCAACAAGATGTAGGCAGAAGTGTTACATATCTTTCCCTTCCCACTTTTATGATGTAATTGTTTACTTTCTCTATCCTAGCACTTTACCTCTAATAGCAGATAATAACTAATTTCTTTCTTGAGAGTGGCATCTGAGAGTCAAAATTTGACTATCTTATGAATATGTATTGTACTACATAGGGTGATTTAATACATTGATCAAAAAGATTGATAATTTTTGCCTAAAGTCCCAAGAATGTGTTGTGGCTGGTTGATAGAAGTAAGTCACAAGCCCTGGATTCTGTACAGAAGAGGTCAAAATGCACAGTCACTGTTTTCAAAAATATTTGCACAGACTGTGAAAGGTGCACCTGTAGGAAAAACTCCTCCATCAGGGCCACAGTCCACCGGTGGTGCAGTCTCCAGGATTTGGCTGGGTGGCTGATGTCTGCGGCGTGGAGAATCAGGGACATGGTTTTGGCTTTGTCAACCCTGTCAAATCAAGGACATGCTCAATTATCAGCACAAAGTAACCAATTAGGGTCTTTTCTGAGTCCAGGCTCATGGAACTTTAGCATGACAAAAGAAACTAAATTACCCTTCAGGCTGCTGCAAACTATTTCTTATATTTTTAATTTGCTGGAAGTGCCCCGACATGTCTGTAGACAAAACCATTTCAATCACTAGATTCCGAAGATCCCTGTGAAGTCATCAAAAGAAGAAAGGTTCATTTGGCCCTTTATTGTGCTCAAGCATAACATTTCCTTAGATACTACTAATTACATTTCACTTTTCTTAAGAGATATGAACACAAAACCTTTTTAAATATAAAGGAGCTCATAAGAGTCTGACATTATTTCACCCTTTAACTCTTGCAGCTTTAGGAAGTTGCTAGGAGAGTGATGGGTGAGTGACGCTCTTCAACTTCTCCCCCTAAAGAACTGATGTGTTCCCTCCACACACACACCACTCCCTCATTCATAATTCCTAAATACTGTTTTTCTATCTCAAAGGATCCTAAGCAACTTTAAAGAAAAATGATTCCAAGTGGAGTATTTCCTTTAATAAAACCACCACTATTTATTCAGTATTTACTCAGTCCAGGCAGTGTTCTAGGTATTTTTATATGAAGCAGTATTATTATTTCCCACCAGAGGAGAGTGAATTGTTTGCCAGTCACACAGGTTGCTAGTATAGCAGGGATAAGATTCAGCTGCTCCCAAAGTTGACACTTGGACTAAAAGCTTAAACAGAGAATCTCAACTCATCCATGTTTTAATTTGTGCTAAAATGTTACCAAGTTTATGCTAGCAAATAGATCTCTTGTAGCTTTTTAGAAGCAAGGTTGAATCTGAGGAAATATATTAGTACTCTAGATAAAAATAAAAAGTCTCTTGGACCTTAGGAAATACCTATAGATTTGTCTCCCTACTACTTTTGCCCTCTCCATATAGCCTGGCGGTGGTAGGTTTAAAATACTTGTACAATCAGATCTTGGCCTTCCTAGGCTGGAAACCCAACTGGGATTTTGTTTACTGCAGAATAAAATGGAAGGCTGGATAAAGCGCCTCCTTCCCCCTACCTACTGGAGAGCTCAAACATTTAAAAATAATCATGGGAAGTTAGAGCTTGTTTTAAACCCTGAATTACCTATTTATTTATTTAACCACATCATTTTTTTCCTTTGGACATTTTCTTTTTACTTGATTTAAAGGGAAAAAAATCCTTTTATATTTGTATTTGAATGAAAACCTTTTCACTAAATGACTTTGAACAAGATCTTTATTAAATATATAAAGGCTTTTTTAAAGCAGACCAATAGATACCTTGGAGAAATGTGTACGATTTTCCTCTGCACCTGGGTCATCTTAGTATTTTTGTAAAGCTTTTTGCTCCAAATAGTTAATTCTTTCCTTTTTAAAAATGCTGAACTCCACATGTAGAAAAGTAATATATGAGGGATCATTATGACACAAATTTTGAACTTATGTAGGACCACATATTGGTACAATTGAGCCGAGTTCCATTCCAGAGAGCCTATAATTAGCTATCTTCAAGTACTTGTGTGGGAAGCTGTCTTATGGATGGGCTGTAATGCATATTGATGTTCAACAGGCCTCAAAAATAGTTCACCTCCAACTAACAGAGCCTGGCTATTAAACAAAGTCTTCTAGGTACTAATCCCTCCGAGTCATCCAGTCGACGAGAATTCTAAGTTTGTGGTATGAGATAGGCATTGAATTTCATCTGTTTCCTTCACTTATAAATCACATAACTTAACTTTTTCCTGAAATTAAATTTCCATTAGGTTTCCTCTGAAACTCACCTCCAGTCATCTTTGGATAAATTTATCAGGACATTCATTTCTTCTTCTTGCATAAGTCGATAAGCTGCACTGACATGGTGATTCTCAAGGACAGAGCGATCATTATACAAAATGGCAACATCTGACCTAAGAATTAAAAACAAAATACCAGTACAGGATTTCTTTAGACTTTATGAGTGCCTAATTAAAAATCCTCAAGTCACAAGACACCTCATCAGTAAAAATTCTATAATTGTACGCTTAAACTAATGGAAGGACTTAGTTTCCTTTTTCTATGATAATTTTTAAAAGTATACTATTTTTTTAAAGTAGTTTTAGGGTCACAGCAAAATTGAGCAGAAGGTAGGACTTGCCATATACTCCCCAGCCCCACACATGCATAACCTCCCCCATCTATCAAAATTCCCCACCAGAGTGGTACATTTATTACAATTGATGAACCTACCTTTATGCATCATTATCACTCAAAGTTCATAGCTCACACTGGGGTTTACTCTTAGAGTTGTACATTCTGTGGGTTTGGACAAGTGTATGACATGCATCCACCATTATACTATCATACAGAGCATTTTCACTGACCTAGAAATCCTGTGTATTCTGTCTATTCATCTCTCCCACTCCCTTAGTCCCCAGCAGCCATTGATCCTTTTGTTTCCTCCATAGTTATGCCTTTTCCAGAATGTGATGTAGTTGAAATCATACAAGAAGCCTTTTCAGACTGGCTTCTTGCACTTAGTAATATGCATGTTATGTTGCCTCCATGTCTTTTCATGGCTTGATAGCTCAATGCTTTGGAGCACTGAAGAATATTTCATTCTCTGGATGTATCAAAGTTTATTTAACCATTTACCTACTGAAGGATTTCTTGGTTGCTTCCAAATTTGGGCCATTATGAATAAATCTGCCATAAACATCATGTGCAGGTTTTTGTGTGAATATGTGTTCCACTCCTTTCAGTAAATATCAAGGAGTATGATTGCTGAAACAAATGGTAAGAGTGTATTTAGTTTTTTAAGAAACCACCAAACTATTTTTTTAAAGTTCATGTACCATTTTGTATTTCTAGCAGTGATGCATGACAGTTTCTATTGCTCCACATCTTCATCAGCACTTGGTATTGTCAATATTTCAGATTTGGGCCATTGTAATAGATACATAGTTATATCTTGTTGTTTTAATTTCCTGATGCAGTGTAAGTGGAGCATCTTTTTATATGGTAATATCCCCTTATATCTTGGTGAACTGTTGTTAAGGCACATATTTAAATCAGGTCGCTTTTTTCTTATTGTTGAGTTTAAGAGTTCTTTGTATATTTTACACAACAATCCTTTATCAAATGTATCTTTTGCAAATATTTTCTCCCACTGTGTGGCTGGTTTTCTAATTCTTTTGATATTCTCTTTTACAGAGCATACGTTTTTAATTTTAATGAAGTCCAGGTTTTTCTTTCATGAATTGTACCTTTAATATTGTATCTCAAATCACTGCCCCACCTAAGATCATCTAGGTTTTCTCCTATATTATCTCTAGGAGTTTTATAGTTTTGCATTTTTCATTAAGTCTATTGTCTATTTTAACTTAGTTTTTGTGAAGAATATAGAGCGTGTGTCTAGATTCACTTTCTTGCGTGTGTGGTCCACTAGTTCCAGCACCACTTGTTAAAGAGACTATCTTTGCTCCATTATATTGCCTCTGTTCCTTTACCAAAGATTAGTTGATTATATTTATGTGAAAATATTTTTGGGCTCTCTCTTCTTTTTCCATTTATCTATTTATTCCATTGCCAGTACCATACTGTCTTGATTATTAGCTTTATAATAAGTTCTGTCAATTCTCCAACTTTGTTTTTCTCTTTCTATAATGTGTTTGTTCTTCTGGGCTTTCTGGGTTTGCATTGAGAAAAATGGACATCTTGACAATATTGCATATTCCTATCCATGAACATTGAATATCTATTTCTTTGAATTCTCTCATCAGAGTTTTGTAGTTTTCCTCATATATCTTACATATATTTTGTTAGATTTATACTTATTTCATTTTTGTTCTTAATTTAATGATACTGTGATTTTAATTTCGAATTCAACTTGTTAATTGCTGATATATAAGAAAGTGACTGATTTGTGTATTAACCTCATACCCTGCAAATTTTCCCTGATTGCTTATTAGTTCTAGAAGTTTTTTGGTCAGTCCTTTCTGATTTTCTACATAGACTATCATATCATCTGCAGATAGGCAGTTTTATGTCTTTCTTCCAAGTCTCTATATCATTCGTTTCCTTCTCAAGAGTCTCATTGCATTAGTTAGAACTTGCACTGTGATGTTAAGAAAGCAGTAGTGACGGGGACATCTTTGCTTTGTTCCTGATCTTAGTGGAAAATTTCAAGTTTCTCACTACTAAGTGTGATGTTAGCTGTAGGTTTTTTTGTAGATATTCTTTATCAAGTTGAGGAACTCCTCTATTCCTAATTTACTGAATATTTTTATCATGAATGAGTGTTGGATTTTGTCAGATGTCTTTCTGCATCTTTACATAAGCACGTGTGGTTTTATTTTAGCCTGTTGGTATGCTGGATTACCTCAATTGATTTTTGAATGTTGAATCTGGGGATAAACCTCACTTGGTTGTGGTACTTAGTTTTCCTTTAATTATCTAGTTTAAATGTCTTTATGTCTTTTCTTTCAGTTTGTAATCCAGATACATGTGACCAATCTAGATACACCAATGATAAAAAAAAATTATCTAACATCTTCATTCAGTTAGTGAATGAATCAATCTCTCTGTACCCATCCCAAAGAGTTGAATACCACCCCTATTTCCTTGGACTAAAATTACTTTTGGGTAGAGGGTGTAGGGGATGATGAAAATCATTTGGTTTATTTATAAATCTAGTTGTTTCCTCCTTTATAATATTGTAATTCAATTTTAGTATTATCAGTCTATTATTAAACTGGGAAAATATTTTTAACAAAATTTAAAATGGACATTGTATTTTTAAATGATGAATTCATCAAGGGAAGGTTCTTATTTTTCTGTTGTCTTTTTTTTCTTATCATTTGATCATCAAATAAATATTCCAGATTGCATTGTTGAACTTGGTATTCGAGCATGAAGTTTGCAATACCTCAAGTGTTCCCAGATTTGTATAATGTAGCCCTTGATTCTTCTTCCTCTATCCTTTAATTATGCCAGCTCATTTTGCAAGCATGGAATGGAAGCACAGCCACTGTGTTCAATGTATCAAAACGGTGAACCCATCCATATAAGTTGGCAAGTTGGAGGTAGGCAGCAGAAATAGCAAAAGGAAAAGTCAAGTTGAAACCTGTACAACTTTTCTTCTGTTTCCCCCAATACTCAGGCTCCCATCACTTTTCCTTTCTCCTGGTAGAAATATACTCTATCAGCATGAAAACTGCTTTACTAAGACTTAAAGTTGTAGACTTTTCAGTAGGTGGAGTCCAGGTTATAACCTCGCACTGACCTTACCACTTTGTAATTACCAAAGAGTAAAGCAACAACAAACAAAAGAAAAAAGTAAAGAAACCTGGCTTCTCTTGAAAGCAACCTATATGAAATGTGTACTTAATAATCTGCCAGCTAAATCAAACTTTGTTGTTATTATTATGGTAAATGACCAATCAGGCAGCAGAATAATTACTTCCTCTTTCGTTTCTACCAGTATCATAAAACTGGAAAACAAATGTAGTTAGCTAATAGCACATATCTCCAAATAGATTTTCTCTTGATATACTCAACAATGGCCTGAAAATTCCTCAGCCAATAATCATAGCTCAATACACAGAAAATTTAACTAGGAAGCACATATGCAATCCTTGTTTTAGAGAATAAAATACATCTTGCCCAAGTATCTCCCAAAGTTCAATCAGATCATGGGAAAAACTGCGATTTGCAAATCATGTATTATTTTATCATATGGCCTCAAATCTTGCCATGACAGCTTTGCCCAGTATTAGCACATAATTTGGCTCCAAGTATCACTGTCTGCTCCATTCAGCAACAAGTAAAGATGTATTTTTGAACCAGATTTAACCGTAACAAAGTATGTATGGTTTTGTCTCATAAATCCAACCAGATACTGAGAATATAGCCTGGTCTTATTTTTTGAGATAATCTTTGACTGCTAAGAACAGAACACGACTCTAAGCAACATTCAGTGTCCATGGTAACATGTAGCTTGCATTTTCTTTTCACAAAGAAGAAATTATTTCCATTATTTAAACTTTCAAGGACTTCATGAATTATAATGTCCACATTGAACTCAAATCTAGCCTTGCATTATGTTCTAAATTATTTTTCAGTCATTTTGCATTATCCAGTAAATAGGTTTCCATATTAAAAAGAATTTTAAATCCAAGCAACCATGAATAATATAAAATACAATCAAATTATTGATATCAGTGATATAAGACCTTATTTCTCCTTGGACAAAATATGGAAGCAATAGAATTTTAAAAAGTACATTATATTGTTGCATTTGTGGTTTATTACAACATTTTTGTTCATATGATTTCCAAGTTGAAGAATTAATCTGTTACATAATTGATCTTGGTAGATAATATATAAGGAAATAAGTAGAATACTAGGCCTTTTCCCCCTTTTATATTCAGAATTTCTAAATAAAATTTTAAAAAATGATTCTTCTTCCTCCTCCTCCTCCACTACACTTTTCCTCCCCCTCATTCTCCTCTTCCTCGTCTTCCTTTTTTCCCATCTTCTCTGCAGGCCAAAGTATGATTACATTAGGATTCTTCATCTGGTTGTACGTGAATGGTCGAAGGAGAAAGCCGCGAGTGGCGCTCTAACACCGCTGCTGGGGGCGCCAGTCCATTCTGCCTTCGCTTTTCAAAGTAGGAAAAGCAGGAAGTAGTCAATGGTAACAGATCACTTCTGCAATTCCCAAAACTATTGTCCTCTACGAGGCCCAGCTCAGAAATGAGATATCTTTAATTAAATTTCCACTCATTACGGATTTGGTGGATGTAGATGAGCCTTTGATAAGCAAAAATGATTTGCACAGTCTGTCCTTCCTTTGAGGTTTAACACAAATGAAAACAACTCCCTATACTCTGCAAATATGTAGGTTAAAACACTCCTTGCCATTAAATCAGACTTCGAAGTCTGCCTTGTCCTTTCATGTTCTGCCAATCTGAGAGACTTTGGGGGTAGAAAGAATGTCTTCCCCAATATTTCCTTATTTGGCTTTTGACAATTCCTCTCTCTCCCTCAAGGGGCCATGACTTCTAAGCCTATCCCATTTCAGGAAATAAAAGATTGGAACTATCATGCACCTGTCTCTGGCCATGAGAGCACAGTTATATAAATAGACTGGATTGAGAGTGTCCCTCTTCTCAGATTCTCAGTCTTACCACTACCATCAGCTGACTACGTACAGATAGATAGGTCTTTTCATCTCTTGAAATCTTTTTTTTCTCTTAGATTGTGAGGCTTTGGCCAGATGATTGATAATGTAGGTCTCAGTCACTTTACTCACTCAAGGCTCCAAAAATAATTGGAATCTAATACTTTAATAAAATGTTTCTATGCTCCCCACAATGAAAAAATAATTTCCTATAGATGGAGAATCAGTTGTCAGAAATGTTGGTATTAAAAAACAAATAAACAGACCAAACAAAAAAGCTGCATATGAATGTTTATAGCAGCTTTATTCAGTGCCAAAATTTAGAAGTAATCAAGATACCCTTCTACAGGTGAACAAGGAAGCAAAGGTACATCCACACAATTAAATATTATTTGCCAGTGAAAACAAATGACCTATCAAGCCATGAAAAGACATAGAGGGAGCTTAACTGCATATTGCTAAGTGAAAGAAGCCAGTCTGAAAATGCTTCTTATTGAATATGATTTCAACTATATCACACTCTGGAAAAGGCAAAACTATGGAGACAATAAAACCATCCTTGACTGTTAGTGGTTAAGGGGGTGGGAAGGATGAACAGGGAGAACACAAAGGATTTCTAGGGCAGTGAAAATATTCTGTATGATATTATAATAGTGGATATACGTCACTATACATTTTTCAAACCCACAGAATGTACAACACAAAGAGTAAACCTTATTGTATATGTGGACTTAAGTAAATGTATCAGTATTGGTTCAGTTTTGATAAATGTACCATACCGATGAAAGATGTTAACAAGAGGGGAAACTGAGTGTGTGGGGGAAGGAGTATATGGGAACTCTGTATTTTCTGTTCTGTTTTTTTGTAAACCTAAAACTGCTCCAAGAAATAAAGTCCACTAATTACAACAAATGAACTAATAAGCAACAACTCAGTTTAGTTTTCCTTCAAAAAGAGTAGAGTTTCATAGTAGTTTCAGGAGACATCAACCTCTCAACTTTATTCTCATCTTAAGCATCTCTGATGAGTGAAAGAGTTACAGAAATTTCAGGATCCTAAGTATATAAAGGGAGTTGGATCATGATGGGTCCTAGACCAAATTCTTTCTTCCAGGGATTGAGATCTCTGTGCAACCAAAAAAAATGCTTAGAGCACCTTTCTATTATGGAATGAATTGTGTCCCCCCAAATTCATATGTCTAAGTTCTCACCCTTAGAACCTTCTAATGTACAGGATTTGAAGATAAGGCCTTAAAGAAGCAATTAAGGCTCAATGAGGTCCTAAGGGTGGGTACCTAATCCAAATTACTGCAGACACCAAGGGTCACACACAGAGAAAAGGGCCAGGTGATGACACAGAGGGCAGCCATCTGCAAGCCAAGGAGAGAGGCTTCAGCAGAACCCAAACCTACTGACACTTTGGTCTTGGACTTCTAGTCTCCAGAACTGTGAGAGAACCTCTGTCATTTAAACCACCCAAACGGTAGTATTTTGTGATAGTAGCACTAGAAGACTTGTATAATTCTACTCTGATATTTTGATTCTAATAACTGCCATTATCAACATTATTAAAAATATCTAATTTTCTGATTATTTTAAATTTAGCACTTTGTGCTACACTGGAAATAAGATTTCTTAGGTTTTGTTTTCATTTTTTCTAAGAAGTGCAATTGCATTACTTCAAAATACATAATGACACCAAACTTATGCCTTAAACAATATGTTGCAAGATTTGTTGCAGGGTGTCAATGTCTGGCTTTTATGATAGTTCAGAGTGTAGTTTTGGGTAGAAAGAGATTATTTCACACAGGTATGTATATGTAAGATACTTCATAAATAATAGTTGATTGATTTGAGTGTTTTACCTTAAGGAATTTTGCTAAAAGTCATTAAACCTATCGTCTTAGTAGACATTTTCATCATTATTCTTAAGTCCCCCTAAAAATAAATAATGTATTGAAAAATATATCTCAAGGTTTAACTTAGAGAAGTTAATACTTTATCAAACCTACCTTGTTTGAATATGAAAGTTGTTTGTGGTTCCTGTATGTTCATAATCATGGATGGCAGCAGCAAAGACCATTGCTAAAATTTCCAGTTCAGTGAGCCAGTGCTAGTAAGTTAAAGAAAGATTCCATCAGAATTAGAATGCAGAGGCCATGTTGTCTCTCTATGAAGAGGATTTTCAGTGTACCCAGTATAAGTAATCATATAAAAGTATAAAATCATTTTTATTGATTTTAATTACTTTTTTCTTCCTATTTCACCACCACTAATTGTGCATAACAGATGCTTCATGAGGTCAGTGATAGTTCAAGGCTCATAAGTTCAAAATATTGACATTATAATTTTTCCTTAAGAATAGGAAAAGGAGTAATTTTCTATGATTTAAAAGGTGAACCCTGACTGGATTTTTGAATTTACAGCCTAACTCATTTGTGTTCTCATGAAATCAATTACAGTTTAGTGATTTTTAACATATAGCTCATATACCATTAAAATATCTCAAGCTAAACTGTTGGAGAACACCCTACTATGAGAAAAATTTCCATCTAAGAGTTGAAAATATTGACTTTGCTCATAAGAGATAGTAAACTTAGCTTTTATATCTGAAGATTTGGAAGAGTTTCCAAGAATTTACCAAATCTGCTCTTCATGACATATATTCTATGACCGTGTAATTAAACTTAATAATAAAAGAATAAATACTTTCACATAAAATTCAGACTGTTTCATATACACTGATCTTTCTATTATCAGTTGGATGGTTTAACCAGATTTTTCTACTATTTTTACATCCACTCAGGTAATTCAATAGTTTGCTCATGGTTCACGTTTTGCAGAACACTTTTCCTGCTTTGTGCAATATGGTTATCACATGTGACTACTGAATTAAAAATAAATAAAATCAAAGAAAATTAAGTTCCCTTTCTCAGTCAAGGTAGCCACATTTCAACTGCTCAAAGTCCATGTTGCAAGTGGTTACCATATGGAAGACGGCAGATACAAAGCATTTCCATCATCACAGAAAGTTCTGTTGGCTAGCACTGCAAGTAGGTGGTACTTGATGGTAGGAACGGAGGATCCAATATGATATGGAGTTTACTCTTAGTGGTCTTATTCCATATCTTTGAAACAAATATGTTGCACAAAGCAATGGAAAAATATAAACTACATGCATATTTGATTTAAAAAATCACAGAATAAAGGTACAGTTGTAGGACAAATAGAATGCATATTTGGTGGCAGTGATCTTGGAAGATGGATGGACAAATATTGGTAGTGAAATGCGTGAGATTCTAAACAAAAAAAGCAAATGTAGAATACCACAGAAGCTTATGTGGAAGTTGAATTGCCAGTAGTATAATTGTGTTGGAGAGTCAAGTGAAGTGAGATGGAAAAGGCAGCACACAGTACGGTAAGGGTTGGTAGACTACCTTGATTAGAGCTGATGAATTTGCACTGTGTAGAAAAGGCAAGAGGGAGCCATTTTAGGTCCGTAAGTCAAAAAAAGAAAGATGTGACAACCATTGAATCTCATAGCTGTCAAAGGCATGGTCTTATTAATCTTTGCTCCCTTCACATAACCTATCATGGTATTTGGCACATAGTAGGAACTTAATATTTGCCTGCTGACTTGACTTTCTCCAGTTTACATTAGGAGGAGGTAGTGAGAAGTAATGAAAAGAGACTGTAATTAGACAATTTGGTTTTAAATCTTGGTTAATCCTCAGGCAAAGAAGTTATTTACCCTCTCAGTCACAGTTTCCATGAAAATAGAATTTTAAGGTAAGTCTTCAGTTACTATATGCACTGTGCCTTTCACAAATCTTTTCATATAGTAAGATACAGAATAAATAGCACTTTATTGAACTTAGTACCTTACATACTTTGTATAAGGCATAGAATCTGGGAAATAATTGAAAGTTAACATATCTTTAGTGACTGCAATTCAAGAATAAGTGCGTCATAGTTTGGTGATTGAAGTAGAAATGATTTTTAGAACCAATAGGAGTTGATATAGCTATTTTTGCAGCTAGTTATAGCAATTTTGTGTTTCTAGTTCATTTAATTTTGAGTTATTAAAAGGAAGAAAATGATCTTATTAGTGGCCTGTATTATATGTTAAACTAGGGGCTGAGTCTCCAATCTCTCCACTGAGACTGTGGAATTAAACACCATGAGGTGAACAGCAACTGATGTTAGACCAGTTTTTGTACCCGCAGAAACCCATTATTTTATTACAGAACATTGTTTCTAGAAAAAAAAAATCACCTATTTTCTTAAGTATTTCCTAATGGTTATATTTAACATTTCCATAGTTTTGATTTTTCAGAAACCAAAATTCAATATCCACTATGAAAATATAGAATATGAAGCTGCAATTGTAAAAAAGTTAAATTAGGAGCAGAGATGGATTTTAATTACAGATTATCTCCTAACTATTTTAAATTATTATCTTCCTAGCTGTCAAACTGATTATATGTGTTCCCTGTTTTTTAGTCTCATTAATCACTGCCTCTCATAAACAGTACTTTCTCCATGAATCCTTCAAAGTTATTGCCACACTATAGCCTTAATAATCATTTACATTATAAAATAATTTGGGAAGATAAACACTGAACTTTCACACTTAATGGGAAAAGAGATGTATTTTGTATTAGAGTAAAATTTGGGGCTGATTTTTTGCTCAGTTGATGATTCATTTTATGCTGCTGTCAAATGAGAATTTTAACTCATAAAATAGATACTTAAATTTATGAATTCTGTAAATGATTCATGAAGACAAGCCAGAGAGAATAAGGCTGAATCATATCACTGTTCCAAACTAGAATGTGATCAGTACATAACATAGGTTCTTCTGATTACTAACGGGCAGAAATAAAGGATTAAAATGATGAGTCACGAGCAATGCAGACACTGTGCTTCATTTAAAGTGCAGGTTGCATTTTGCTTAGAGAAATGCTCAGGAAGATGTAAGCTAAAATGGGCAGTGCTCCAGTGATGTTAGAGGGAGGTGTTGATGGCCATTAACAGCACATGCTATGAAGATGGGAAGAAAGGAGAAGGAACTTAATCAATTTGATATTTTAGTTAGATTATCTCAATTTTTACAATCATCGTATTTGCCATTTATTAGGAATATATTTTACGCCTATTTGGAGGATAACATGATGGCCATTAACAGCACATGCTATGAAGATGGGAAGAAAGGAGAAGGAACTTAATCAATTTGATATTTTAGTTAGATTATCTCAATTTTTACAATCATCGTATTTGCCATTTATTAGGAATATATTTTACGCCTATTTGGAGGATAACATAGCTGAATCCTAAAGAAGTGAATCCACCTGCCAAAGGGCACAAAGCTAAATGGCAGAGTAGGAATTCCACCTGAAATCTGTCTCATTCCAAAGTCTCTGTTCCTTTCACAGAGCACAGTATGTTTCCTTCTGTGGATGACAATACAACCCATTACTTGCAGCAGGCAATACATGGAACACAGTCTTCTAAGGCTTCAAAAGTAGAATTTCTAGATAATTTAACTAGATATATTGATGGGTAGAAGCTAATAGAGCTTTAAGACATGATATAAATTTTCATATCTGAATTATTTGGTGTGTGTGTGAGAGAGAAAGAGAGAGAGAAAGTGAAAGTACAGAGCTGGGAGAATTTCAGACTAGAAAATCATGACCTATTAGTTCCTAGTGTGTCTAAAGAGGCATAATTAACAACTTTTTAAGCTAAATTTTAGGGTTGGACACTGTTTTTCTCTACCCCATTGAATAAGCTGAGGTAGTCCACTATAGCTTATCTGGTATAGAAAGTGAATGTATTATAATAATATTAATATATAATGCAAATAAGCTCATACAATATTTAATATAAATGAATTAATTTTTAATTGATATTAGGGTATATGTTAATAGCTATTATGTTTCAGGAACTAGATTAGGTACTTCATATATATGATATCATTAACTCTCTGTGTCATCCTACAAGGCGGTCAGTATTAAGCACATATTAGTGACAGGGAACTAACGTAGAGGGTGAGCAAGTGAGGAAGTGGTAGAGCAGGTTTCAAACCTGTGTCTAACTGCCGTGAGAGCCCACACTCTTTCCATTCTGAACTGTGTTGTCTGGGAAGCGATTTTGTAAGAAGAGAATTTCCACATGGTTTATAAAATAGAGACATGGTGGCTTATTTTCTGGATATTGATTGGAGAAAAAATGAGTCATTCCAGAGTATTTCCAGGCTTAGTGGACTACAATTTCCAAAGGAAATAGATTTCAAGTTATCTCTTTCTTCTGCTATTAGTATTAGAGAAAACATTGTGCCGGAAGCCCTCAAATGCAAATGTTCCCTTGCCAAGGCTCTAGGATGATTTCCAAGTCAAGGAGATACTTGGCGGTGGCTTGGCAGCACTTGGTGAAATATCTGCTCTTTAGCATATGGATGGAGCTACCACATACCACTGTTGCAGTGGCACGGGGCTACAAGTACTTTGGGACAAAAGGAGAAAGAGGAGACATAGGGTGTCCTAGCATCTCCGTCCTTTGCACTGTCTGTTCCTAGGCCTGCAGTATCTCACAGGATGTTAATAAACTCAAGGACAGTGGCTTCATTACAATCCCTTTCAGGCACTGGTCCTCAGAACATTTTGCAGGTGACAGGCTGTGTTAGTCACCTGACAGCTAGGTGCTGCTATTGGTGCTTAATAAATGTCACAGTGACAGGACCATCCTGAAACAGCAGGGCATCAACTAATGAATAAAAGTAAGTGACCCAGTCTTCCTATCAAATCCAAGGGTTTTCAGCTAAATGAATATTTCTATAATGCTTTTTTTTGTTTGTTTTAAAAAACCAATACGTTTGTATATATGAAAATTAATGCTCACCTATCACTTTTTCCATCTAAAGGAAAGCTTGCTAAAATAAATTCCCCAAAACCATCAAGTTGGCAGTGTAACTTAATTTTGACAAAATAGTAAATTCATAATTCATTTTGCCCTTCCTCTTACCATCTACGGTAAAATTTCTCATTACTCCCTTACTTAAAATGTATTTTCCTGATCTCAGACAACATCATCTTCCACCAGACTATTTTTGTAATGGCCAACTAATGGATGAGTAAAGAGCCCACTGACACAGTTCTGCTAAAAGCTGGATAAAAAGAAACAGGTTTCCAAACCAAATCTGTTAAAGGAGAGTGAAGTTATGTTTATGATTGGTAAGTCACGATCCTCCCAGAAAGTGACTATGTGATCTTCACTAACTTTAACTTTCTATAAGTCATGCCAGAGTGGGCGCGATTTCCCCAGTCTTCCAGAGAAGTTGGAATGGCATTTCATAACCTGGAAGTTCCTTGCAAGTCTGAAGGTAAAGTCACATTGTAGATTGGAATTTCTCTATTTACCAATAATTTAGCATCCCTTATCTCTCCAATATCACCATGAGAGCAGAGGTTCTAAAGCTGAAACAGGACATTTTTATTTGGCTCCCTTTACATAGGTGGCAAAAAAAAAATGTACTTAAGCTGAAACATATTTTAAAGTGATGAAATCTTGGTTACCTCCTAGCTCAAAATGGCACATATCTTTTTATTGCACTTTATAATTAAAGCAGATATTAATTATACTGAAGTAGGCCTTCGTTTTCCATTCCTTCTTGTTCTGAGGAAATCTAATCAGCTCAGTTTTCATTTCAGAGTAACATTTAAATATTTCATTTTTCAGTTAACTTTTTCAAAGCCACAGAATCCAGGAAAGAGGAAATGTCAAACAGTTTAAATGGAAACCATCTTAGACCAAGATAAGGCTTCAGAAAGGAAAACAAAGACTCTTCAACCAGGAAAATGTTAAAAGCAACTTTTTCAAGTGTAACAGCATTTACAGCTGTCAGGAGGTACTTTGCTTTTCACGCTAACTGCCATGCATATCAAACCAAGTAAAAGCAAAGAGTTCCAGAAACAGCTGTGACAATGAAGCCTTATTAGACCACAAGAGCTTTATATGAATGTGCGAGTGTGTGTGTGTGTGTGCGCATGTGCACACATGCTAGAACCAGGTTATAAAAAGGTTACATATACTACTTTTAAAAAGTTTACAATAGTTTAAAGCTTTATCTTTGAATATTTATGTTTCTACTTATTATTGGTAACCTCTTTCTCCCTCTAAATGACAAATCAGACTCCTGAAATGAATGATGAATAAACTTCAACCAAGGACCACATCCAGCCATGACTGCATCTGGTCTACCCAATGGGCACATTTACACCTTAAATCAGTAATCCTCACATATACACCTAATATGGGGAAAAGTATGAAATTAACAACACATATAGTTGAACCATCTAGACAATCATAAGAGGGTCATGCCATTGCACTCATGCAGGTTTTTGAGATTCCTGCCTCCCCTCAAAGGGCTTAACTCCAAAGCAGGTTATAATACTCAATAAACTTTTCATAGAATGCATATTTCTATTGAATTGGTGGTGAGATTCCAAGAATCCTGTACTAAAAACACAGCTGAGTTCCCAGCCAGTTGCCATTATCAACTGCTAGCCATGTGAGTGAACTATCAGGGATGGCTCACCCAGTGATGTCCTCAGATGTCTTCAGACATAGTTGCTAGGTGTTCACAATCACATGAGAGACCCTAAGTGAGACTCTTCTAGCTGGGAACCTTCTAACCACAGAACCTTGAGAGATATTAATAAATTATTGTTTTAAGCCACTAAGATTTAGAGTAGTTTGCTTCAGAGCAACAGATAATTGGAACGTGGAGCAGGGGCAGGAGTGGAATTTGAACCCAGAGCATTGATGGATCTGTGACATTTTGGAGGCAAAGCAAGATAGAGGAGAATAGAAAATTTCATCAGATGAGACACTACTGGATTAATTATAGCAAATGGGTAATGTGTTTCAGAAAAAACACTATAGTGAGAAATGAAATAATGATGAAAATTTTCTGTATATAAACTTCGAAAATCATGTACCTGTGAAAAGTTTTCAAGGTCTTCAGGACAACATACTGTGGCCCTAGGGGTTTTGCTGGGAGGCAAGTTAGGAATACAGACTCTAGAGCAGAAAGATGAGGTCTTGAGGATATCTGGGCCCCAAAGAGTACCAGTTACAAATATCTGAGTGCTGATATTTGTATCTGTTAGCAACAGAAAGGGTATGGCTTCTGAAATCTAAACAGGTAGGCAATACTTAGTATGGGGTTTGGTGGAAACTTCTACACACATGCACTTTATGGCACTGCTTCAGCTTAGGCTGACACATGAGGAATCAAGAAGGCACAATGATTCAGGGATCTCACATGGCCTATATTTTTTTGAATCCATCTCAGTTAGGATTTTCAGAAGGAAGAGCTGGTCTTTCCCTTTCACCTTCTGGGAGTCATCCTAAACTCGGAGACATCACAGAAACTCCAGGCATTCTCAAAGTTCCTATCATTTCTTCATTGTTGTCCCAGAATTTATATTGCTAAATCATTTATTTACTCATCAATTGATTCACTCAGATGCAAAGAAGAGGAGAATTTGGAAAATTCACTTGAATAATTTCTAAAATACCTATAAGGATTTGATTGTGATTAGCAATGCAAGTAAAAGAGAAAAACCTGCTGAGTTCACCTTGGGAGAACATGATGACACAAGGGAAGGGCATTTAGCCAACTTTTATGCAAACCCTTTTCTCCAGGTCACCTTTTTTTTTTTTTTAGCTATGGGAAAAGGAATTTTCCAAACAAAAGTATTGTATAATCCAAAATTTGGAAATTTTATTTTGTGGTATATTTTCATTTGCCTCTGGGTATCTTATATCTTTTCTTTTCAATGAGTTAAAATACAATTTGAAAAATGTATATTGTGAATAACTCATTAACCCTAAAAAATTCAAAAGATTATTGTTTATAATACTTCTATTGACATTAAAGAGACAATAGGAATTTAGGGGAATGGAATTTGATTTGCCAAACTAACAAACTTTAATTACAAAGACTTTCTTACCATGATTCCTGTATGAAGCATTATGTAATGCACAGTTTGAGTGACATCAGCTGCATGAATCAGATTGTGATAAGGATTTTTGTACTTGCTATAACCAACTTCTAAAGCTTCTGCAAAGGAAATTAGGCAAGAAACAGGAATCTGTGGAAAGTAATAATTATGATTACATTTTGACCAAAAGAGTAGCATTAAATTAACACAAGCACAATGTTTGGGACAGTAGACAACAGTGAGTCAGGTATCACAGTAGTTTCTTGAAGTGAAATGTGGATTTTTCTGAAAAACTGTCTTTAAACTGGTAGCTTTCAATCCTGACGAAGATTGTAAGCCCCAAGTACTTAACTAAGATAGATGAAATAACAGCCTTACCCTTACTGGTGTCTTTAAATGTTTATATCTTCCAGAGTCAAGTCAAAAGGCTAGTTCTTAAAAGGGGAAAATTCTCAATTACAATTGGTTAAGTCTAGTTGTTCTATCTGTGATAAAAGGGGTTAAAAAATTGACCTGAAAGGTTCAAGCTGCAGAGTGCTTAGAAGTCTGGGTCAAATTTGTTGCACAGATGGCTCTAAATGAAGTGAATTAGAAGCCCTTTTATTTCAGTCTAAGACAAGCTGCCAGTAAAGGTCCATTTTGTGTTTTAGGGACACAGATCATATTCCTTAAAACACAGCTTCCAATATCAACATGACTGTTCTGTGATTAATTCCGAGGGAAATTTGTGTCTTGTTGGATTGAGGCTATGACGGCTTCATGAAATCCAACGGGATTTATAGCTATGTCAGTGGGTTGTGGAGAATGGTTATATCATGTAGTGAACTCATACCCCTAGTTCTTTGATCTGCCAACCAGAAACATTATAAAATGCATTGATTAATGACTCAATGTTCTGAATTTTCATTCTTATTCAGATAACAATTTCTAAGAGCATTTTACTTTTGTTCCATGTTTCTGACCTTGAAACGGTTGATAAGATCATATCTGGTAAACAGTTCATAAATCATAAACTTCAGACTATGTTCTCCACTTGCTTCATTTAAGGCAAATACATCAAAAGACCATTTATCAACATCCTGTAGCAAAAAGAGGAATTACTTTAGATGGCAATATCATATATTTCTGTTTCTTTCTATGAAAAATTCTTGGAAAGATCAGGCATTGTATATCCAGCAGGTCAGATTTTAATGCAGGTCAGATTTTAATTCAGCATATCAAACTGTAGTTTTCCCAGCTTCTGATATGACAGGGACATTTAATATCCATTGGTCCACAAAAGTGAGGCCATATGCGTAATGCAGTGCTAAGATCTTCCCCTTAATCACTTGATATAATAAACCCGAGAACATAATACTGACCTTATCCTTAATCTCCTCCATATTCATATGCCATAAAACACTTTCCCAGAGTGGGCATCATTTTAAGGTAGAATTTCAACTTAATGGGGGTGATGTCAACTGAGGGATAGAAGTAAGTTAGCAGCAATTTCCTTTTCCCACCCACCCACCTTCTACATTGCTTGAAATTTTACCCTTTGTTATTTGGTTTAAAGGTTTGATATTTTGTCTTCTTTTAAGATGCATATATATACCTTAGAAAGATAGTGTACATACTACCTTATTATTCACGCTAATCCTGGCTGATTCACTTAAACTTTCTTTCAGGGACTGATGGTACAAAAGAGGAAGCAGGTCCTTTGACTTGGGGGGAGAGTAATTTTGGCATTTCAGGCAATTCTCTAGGGCCATGGTCAGGATGGTGGGGAATTAGGTGCCCTTGGAAAAAATACCCCCTGACAGTGGGAGAGAGGGCAGTAAGCAGCTATGTCAAACCACTCCAGCTACCTCATGAGTTTGCTGAAGAAAATCCAGGACAAAAATTTATACAGTCCACAAAATGGACATACAGAAAATGATAATACCAGTCCTATAAACTAAGGAGGTTTTAACGTAAAGTCTGAGCTCTAATGTTCAATAAATCACTGAAATTTAAAAAATTTAAAGAAATACAGCAGAGTCAGTTTGAACGATATCAGAAACTATTAGCAAAGATGGTCTAGTATTAACATATACACAGCAGGTTTAGTATTCAATAGTAAGTGGGCAACCTTATAAAACTATACATTAATTTTGAACTTGAGCAGGTACAGTTTAGAACTTCATTCATTTACCACATTTTTATGGAGGCCAACCATCTGTAACATGCTGAAACTAAACTGAAAATCTAATAAAAAGTATTCAGTGTCTTTTAAAAATACTTCTTTTGAAAAATATTCTTAACAGCTTCAAACGGTATTTTTAATCACTTGAAACACGAGTAAAATTATTTTTAGTTTGCTTGTGTGCCTTCCTGTTTGCCTTTGTTAAGTTTCTTGGATTTGGCCCTGATTTGATCTGCAAGCGTTTGTTTTATCTGTTTATAACTTTAAAATCTGTAAAAGTTCTGATAGAAGGCATTTTAGCATCAGTAAAGCTCAAAGAAGGCCAACAAATCTTTCATCAAATTCCAAAGCTAACACAGAAGAATTAGTCCAGACTCTTACAAGGCTGCTATTTACAGTTCCTGCTAGGGGTTTCCCACTGAGTAAAAGGTTAGTCCTTCATTTCTTGGGGATTTTTATCAACAATGATGATTTGCATTTATAAACTACTGCAGATGCTTGGCTTTTACAGACTGAGAACAAAACAGACAAGGAGTTATCTCAGGAAATAAGAATTGTTTAGCTAAGACTCTTCTTTATTTAGTGACAGTTCTTTCTTCAACCTGTTATTCATGTACTTTTTCTACACTATATTTTAGAAAAACTGTTTATATTCTCTCATACCAAAATATTTTGTTAATTAGTTTCTAGGCAAAAGTTCTTAATAAATAAAATTAAAATAAGTAATATTCTTGGCCATAGTTGAGGAAAGCAGAATCATTCAAGAGCCAAGGAGTAATTAATATCCTATAATGTGACATTTCAGTTATACGCTTCTCTTTATTATAACTTTAGAAATGTAAGAAAGCTTCTAAGAAAAATGAACTACCTTTTTAAATTAGTAAGATGAAAATGTAATATGTCACAGTGAAAGAACAAATGCAAAGAGGATGCTTAAAAGGAAATTAAAGAACAAAAGAGAACACTATTAATTTAAACTAGAAAAGGAGTTTAATAAATCAGAAATAAATCTCCTCCAGGATATTCTGTTGCCACTATCCTTTAAATTCTTGATTAATACAGGAAAACCTCCATGAAACTGTTACAGGTGACGAAATAGAATTCTCTCACACAAATTAAGTGATAGAAATAGGAATATTGAATGATAAGCCTACAAAATGCCTCTGTAGAAATAATGCCCAGAAACACTGCACAGACCCCCACACATACACTATGGACACAAGAGAACCAAAACTTTGACCACTTCAGAGTTCAACTGTTGTTATTTCCAACACAGTAATTTCTAACAATACAATTGGGCCTGAGACTAGGACAGCCACAGGAAAAGCAGAGACAAGAGAGTAAATTTTCTCTTCTGTTTTCTTCCTTTCATTGTACTTTTTTTGGATTTTCTTAGACCTAAAATTCTAAACAATTTTCTTCTATATAAGTTCTGTCTCTTAACCATACTAGACTGAAACTTTTTATAATGCATTCCATAATATATATATAACAAAATATGTATATTCTGTCAAGTTCTGGTGGAATCTCAAAATTAAATTCAAGAGCCACCTAAATAAAGCATAAAGAATAAAAAAAATCACACATGTGAGTGCACACACATGCATATGCATTGATATAGTTTGTTAGAGTACATTAATCCTCATTTAAGTCTACAATGAGTCATGATTTGGAAAATATGACACTTTGTAAATGATTAACATTTTTTTACATACCAATATGTATGAGCTGCAGCAAAGAACTATTTTCATTTTCTCCCAGTCTTTTTAAAGAGATTTTAAAGATGACTATTTGAAAAACTAAAATAATTGAAATTATTTCACCTTTAATGTTATTATGACAGCTTCTGGATATGCCAAACCAACCATGTGATAGGACTTTCTGTACATCCTAAAAAAGAAAAGTAGATTTATATACACATCATTTATTCAAAGGTTTCAACTACTTCTTAAATATAAGGGAGAAGATTGCTTTTGACTTGCAAACCCTTTATCATTAGTTACAGTCTCCCTTTGTGGCAACAATGATAACTATGGTCACCTTTTACATTTATTAAGCATCTACAATGCGATAGATGTTAATCATACTTTGTTTTACTCATAATTACCTTACAAAGCCAATATCATTTTTGTTTCTATGTAAAGAGATCTTTCCCTTAACCTCAACTTATTAAAAGAGACTGTTCTTTGTATCTGCAACATTTTGTAGCATGTTACCATATTGATGTCAGCAGAGGGGTATACTTGTTTTGTGTCCATTTCTGTGCCAACATTTTCAGTCTAGAAGTCGAATGTCATTGGAATATATATATATTCCAATATATGTAGAAATAATGCCCGGGAACACTGCACACACCCACACACATACACTATGGACACAAGAGAACCAAAACTTTGATTGCCTCAGAGTAAATATATACATACATACATACATATATATGTATGTATATATTTACAAAATGAAAATTATAGGAGGGATTATGTAATATCATCAGAATTTACACAGCTTTTTGTTTTGAGTTAAGAATATTGGGGGAGACCACATTAACAAAAATTGCTTAAGGTTGTTCAAACTGTCATTCAATATTACTTAAGAAAGATTATACAGAAAACAAAGTTATTTCCATTTTAATAATAGTATCAGTAACAAAAATATTTATCAGTAATTTGTTGATTTTTCCATCTTTCAGTGGGTAACCAAGATGACACAAACCGAATATAAGTAAGTCCTCCACTGGTTCATGCAACAGTATAATCAATGTGATACTGTAATATGTAGTGATAGCAAATGCTTCTATTCAGGACTGAAAGACAGATGGTTTGCCCACAAAGTCCTGGAAGAAAGAATTTAACTATAACCATATCCCCTAATTTTTACAATGTTGGTCCACAAGTAAGCTGCGTTTCTAGACTATACTGCTATAACTTCTTTCTCCAAAATGCCTGGAAAAAAGCATAAATTAATGATTTACTATGATAATTATTTGATATAATACAAATTATATCATTAATTTATTTTGGGGGTTAATATAAGAAATAGTCATTTGTAAAACATTCTGTGTAAAAACCACTATAGAAGATACTAAAGTTTCTGATTCAATGTAGCTTATATTAAAAACTCGTAAGTCGTATTACTCAGTTCTATGTAAAAGTTGCCATTTTTTAAGATAATAAATGTAAAGTAATTCGCGTTTTCTTTTTTAATCTTGACTTCTTGGAGGCTCAGAATTAAATATTATGTTTATATATATCTCTAGCCTAGGCTTTCTTGATAAAATATCTCCATATTTATCATGGAGACCTTTCTGCTTTATTGCCATGTTTCCATTTTATGTTTGCTTTGCTTAATTATTCTAATCTTGCAGAACACAGACAACTTCTAATTGCACTAGAAACTAATTACTGTTAATAATGATATTTAGTATTTAGTTTTTTCCTGAGGAAACAAAGTCTCTTCTATCTATTTTTCTAGTCATTATTACTAAAGAATGGAGAAAACAGGGGAAATGGAAACATAATGGACAAAAAGAAAAAATCAATATAAAAATCAATCAGGAGTACGACATTTTAAAATTAAGTAACTTTGAATCACTGTGAATTCATAGCATAGGAAGGTAGATGTAGCAGGAGAACATGGGCTTTGAGTCATAGGTTAGCCACTCACTAGCTGTGTGGCATTTGGAAAGCTATTTAATGTCACTCACCCATAAGACACAGATAATTATAAGCTTCTTGTGAAGAGTAAATGATAAAATGCCTAGCATAATATAAGTACTCAATACAAAAAAGCCATTATTATTATTATTATTAATGTTACTATTCTCTTACTCTGCAGCCAGTACCACAGTCTGCAATTCTCACATTTTTCAGGGATCCCTGGGTGCAGAGGGAACTCGAGTGCTATTGAGTTTCTTAGATTTGCAGTAGGTTGAGAAATGAGTATCAGTGTACATTTTCATTATATGGGATGTAAAGAAAGACAAACAGGAGGATGACCCTTCTAAAGTGATAGAGAAACTTTCCCATTGTCATTTTCTAATCCTATAATCAGGAACAGAAATTAGGACGGAAAAACAGAAATAGAAAATTAGGATGGAAAATTAGGATCTCTAGAATCAGAATGAAGTGCTTCCCACTTCAGTAAAAGTTGTTATATTACAAGTTGCTGAAAAAAAAAATGAATTTCGTGGGCTCATATAGGTGGTTAGAGTCCAAATGGAAATATGGTGGATTATTTTTACTATAGTTACAAAATATAATTCAGTAACTTAAAAAAAACTATCTTATGCTTGACATTGTGCTAAGCAAGAGACTATGTAGTAGAGAGCAAGAAAAAATAGTTGCTGCTATCGTGGGGCTTAATCAGTGGTAAAAAGGTACAATACATAATAAATAATATATTATTACCAACAGCACTAAGTGCTATGATGCAAACCACTGGGTGGGGTAGAGAAAGTGGTAAACTGTGTATACAGAATGATCAAGAAGGGTCTCTGGAAAGATAGAAAAGGGCCAGTCAGAGGGAAGGGCTGGGAAAATCATTTCTGATAGAGGGAATAGCAGGATTAGTGGCCCCAAGGAGAGAAAGAGTTTAAGGATGTTCATGGAATTGAAATCAGGCTCGTATAGATATTCAGTCAAGGATAAAGGTAGCAACAGATGAGTCTAGAAGGTAAAAGGGGGCCTAATCCTGCAAAGCCATGGTACAGAAGTTGCCTTTAATAGCAAGTGAAATGGAAAACCATCAGATGTTTTAAGTTTAACAGGAACTAACCTATAACTTAACTCATCACTGTAGGATGAGTTGTTTGGAGAGGGCAAGTGAGGAAGGGGAGCCCGGTTACACAGGTATTGCCATGTTTGGATGGCATATTGCAGAGGTGTAGTTTGGGGTTGCAAGAGCAGAGCTGAGAAAGTGATTCAGGATACATCTTGGTAAGTGGGTTGCCAGGACTTGCTGAAGTGCTGAATCCTTGGAAGGGATACTTGAGAAAAGACTCAGGAAGCCTTTCTAACATTCACGATTGAAGATAACTTTTGAAAATTCAAGGGAAAGGCACCCACCATTTTTATGCACTTACTAATGGAGATACAAAAATAAAAAATTTCATTTCCATGTGTTTGTAGCATATTGATTTCTTCAAGACTGCTTATTAATTTAGTTGCCTTAAGTACATTTTGACATTTCTATAGGCTATAGATAAAATGTTTTATGTGGCATATGAAAAAGAAGAAAATTTAGCATGTCACTATATTTACAGAATTCTTTGTGATCTTTCATTGAATGGAAATGGAAATTTCGTTAGCATTTCTTTTCAGTTTGCCAAGTTCTGCAATAGTTCCTTAAATAAAAGACAAACTATACTTCCTTCAGTAAATCGCACATACTCCCTTTTATCTGTGATTCTCTCACTGACTTTCTGAACTACTATTTTGATATTTTCAATTTGTTGTTACGAGAAATCAAAAACTCACACACTTGCTTAAGTAGTTTTAAAAAATAGGAATATGGTTATAGAAATTCTTTTGCTCCATCCCTGCCTCTCCGGTTTCAGATTTTTAGTACCACCTGGCACAGTTTAGAACAGTTTCTGCACTAAGAAGGGGGAGAAAAAGTGTCATTTCACCATTCTAATCAAACTGTTATTATGAGATTCTTTATTAAAGTGAATTAGATATGGTTAAAAAATACTCAGAATAATCTGGATAATCATCAAGTGGCTGTTATTTTGGATAATACAGGTAGAAGTCAAAAGACTAAAGCTTTACTTGCTGTGGTTATAATATATCTTTAAATCTCATGGAATACTTTTTGCAATGCATTTTCATTTACACTTTCAGAAACTGGGTAAAATTGCAACATTTCCAGAATCCTGGCCTTTGTGCATCTCCATATCAATAGGTGTTTCCAAGGGGTGGAGAGAAGTACCATCTCCATATCAATAGGTAATTACAAGGAGGAGCTAGAGCATATCTGGACCTGAGAGGTTGGGTGGGGTTCCTTTTTCTGCAGCCAGGTTGTGAGAGACATGTGAGCAGAAGTGTGTGACTGCTTGTAAGCAATAAATGGGTTTCTCCCACTTTATTTCTCTCTTTGACTGATTTTGGTTTCAAAGGTATTTTGCCCTAGGATTTTCCCCACCAGAGTTACAGCAACCCAAGTGTGTTTGTCATTTTTCCTTTAGCAGAGGACAATTAAAGTTTATAATGTTCATTAGAGGTAATGACTTGAGATGTTCAGAAGATGAAAAATGTAATCCCATAAATTTAAGTACACTGACAAAAATATTCTCTTCTTCTCAATTTTATTAGTTTCAAATGTTAATGTTAAAAGTTAAAATAATATTTATATTGCATATATTAAGCTATAATGTAATTGTTTTTTAATATGAGATTTCTAATAGTTTTCAGAATTGCCAGGTGTGACATGTTTATTTTTTATTTTATTTTTTTATTTTTAGTTTTAATCCTCAAAAATCTTGTTTCCTAGACAGATAAATAAGCTGTGTTCTTAATGGCTAAATGAACATAAAGTTGGGTCGCATTAACATGTATTTCACATTAGAAACTATAGTGCTTCTGGGGCCATCGAATATTCCTTGCTTCAGAGACAGAAATGTTAAAAACTCTTTCAAAGTGAACACAGGACAGCTTTCCTCCCATGATGAGAAGAGGCTAGTCTTGTGTCTGTAATGCAGAGAAAGGCCTGCTTGATTTTGGTATACAGTATAGAATTCAGTTTATGAGGTGTTATATTTTATTCAAGTCAAATCAGTTGTGTAACATATGAATGTGGTATAATTGTTTTTAAACATTTATTCACAAATTTTCATTTGAGGGGAATGGTCATTCAGAAGTTGTTGTTTGAGTTTCTATATCAATTTTAAAGAAACAAAAATAATAAATCTAAGACATGACATTTTTGTTATAGGTAAGTTCATCATAGTCATAAATATGTTCATTTCGGGTACACTTATCACTGTAGTTTTCCTCAGTAAGACTTGCATAACTTTGATTTAATAAGTGTATTTCTTGCCTTTCAAATTTTAGCTGGAGATACTGACAACTTCACTTACCTTTCCACAAATATTCCAGCTTGAACAGCATGCACAATGCTCCGAAATTTTGGTTTTTCCTCAGATTTCTTTTTCATCATCCCCATTTTCCGTGTAAAGGTAGAAGCCAACCAGTCCCGGACTTCCAACGGGACTGAATCTGACTGAATGTCACCGAGCTCATCTTCAGTATCCAGCAATCTTCTACAAAAAGTAATACCAATTGAACTTTAGGAAAAAGTGAAGAAAAATGAATAACAACAAAACAAGTATTGCTATAGGATTTAAAATACAGCAAATCCTTCTCTGACCATTCCTTAATATTAATTATGGAAATAAAAGAAAAATGATTGGGGAGGGCTTTGAATTTCTCAAGTTGATTATATTCTGAAAGCAAGGACCAGTGGACTGGAGCATTTGCATCTTTACAAACATTTAAGTACAACAATAGCAGCCTGGAGATATCATTTGTTAATATTAGTAATATACTATGTTAGTAATGAATAAAACTAAGATAAGATAGGGCAGAAAATTCATAAACAGATATCTGTTATTAAAGGAAGCAACTGAAATAGAAACACTAAAGGGGGTTGAAGCTATAAAAGTTGTCTTATATTTAATCTTGTGTATATATAGTACAAATAGTACATGCTACTAGAATAAAATCTTGGAGTTTACATAAGTCATTTACATGAGCTATTTCGTTTGATTAGTATTTCTAAATTTTAAAATTATAATGTAGGTACTCTAAAAGATGAATTCTGATAACATCACCTGTAAAAAAGTGAAAAAGATGAAAACAAGTGGATTATTTTGAAAGTTCATTTTAGGCATAAGTGGAAGAGAAACACCTCCAGTTAAGACCAAATGCTGTTTTGAGGGTAGAGATCTGAATGCTGTAGAACTGCTGGCCAAGGAAATCAAGTGGGTGAGGGATGAGGTGAACTAGAACAGAAAACACTGCCTTGCTGCCCTCCTGTCTAAGCTCCAGACAGATGGCATGGACTGGGCGGATGAGCAAAAAGAGCTGCCATTAAAGCTGGTCAGTTCCAGTGACCCACAACTTCCTGAAGGTCTGAACTGGCCACATAGTATGAAAGGCTCCCCGCAAAATACAAAATGCTTTACAGAGCAACCAGGCTTTGCCTCCAGAAAGGACACAGGCCAGCTCTGCTGGTTTTGTGATTTGGTTATTTCTTTGTGTATCAATTTAATAACTCAGAGCTATTTCTGGTACACGTTAGCTTTGACCTTTAGATTCCACTCACTTTGGTAAATCTCTGCACAGAGTCAGACCTACAGATCATGAGCTGATGGAAGGTAGCCAGAGACGACAGCATGTGCTTAGGCCTCCAGACCAAGTCACACATCCTCTCAAGAGGGCAGGGACCAAGCAAAGGGCAAAAAAGCAGGAAGCCCACCAAAAGCATCCACTCTACCAGAAAGAGGCTCAAAAGATTATATGCTTCCCCTCTGTGCTGCTCTTTTCTATAAATAATCAGAGGACAATCACTTGCAAATATTTATTTTTCATAGTATTAAATAAGTGTGAATGCATTTATGAAGTACATTATGAAAAACATTATGAGAAAATATACTTACGAAAATATAACTTATTTATATTATATATAAAAATACTTAAAAATATAACTTAAGAGCTGGAATCACAAAAACTAGATGTATACATATGAAGATAAAAATGACTTACATAGTTGAAAGTCAATACTGATTAACACTTACTGTATATTATTTTTAACTTTCTTTTGGTTCTTACATTTGGATGACTTTGATTTACCTTTATATTGACATTGTAATACAAAGCAAAAATTTTTTTTCTCCTTTTTTCCATTTTAAGTGAGATTCCTCAGCCAATTGCAGCAAGATACCACACTACATGGTTTGAAATTTTCATGGCTAATGCCATTTGTATTATTATTGATTGTGCCATTTCTATGATTTCTTATGTGGTGATCAAACAAAACCCCAGAGCAGGACAGATGGAATGGGAATCGTTGTGGTGTAGTCCTGTGATGCCACCATGGTCCAAGAATTCTATTGCTGTCTTGTTTATCAGCTACTCTAAGTAGAATGGCAGACATATAACAATGGTTGCCAATTGCTTTTTTGCATATCTTATGTCGATGACTTTAAGGTTATATGTCCTAAATTCATTAATTATCCAAGACAGATCGTCAAACATGACAAAATCAGCAGATGGAAATGAGATTCATATAGGAATGTGGTACTCGGCAGTCTGGTGATCCTTAGTCATAATGAATGATTTATTCATTTATTAAGAAGGAAAGAATATACAATCGTAGGGAGAAAGAGTGATATGAATTAGTTGATATAGGAATAAAGGAAGAGAGTGTGTAAAGAGAAAAGCATGGAATATGCTACTGCATAACTAAAAAAAGCAAATCTTGAAAAAGCAACAAAGACCTCTGTAATGGTTAATTTTATATGTCAACATGGGTAGGTGACGGTGCCCAACTGTTTGGTCAAAAACCAGTCTAGATGTTGTCTGTGAAGGCATATTTTAGACGTGATTACCATTTAAATCAGTAGACTGAGTAAAGCAGATTACCCTCCGTAATGTGAGTGGGTCTTATCTAATCAATGAAGAGCTAAAGCAGAGGTCCCCTAAAGAGGATGGAGTTCTGCCTCTAGACTGCCTTTATTCTCAAGGCTACAACATTTACTGGCTGGAAATCCAGTGTCATCTTGCTCTGAAGATTTGCACCTTGCCAGTCGCTGCAATCACATGAGCCAATTCCTTGAAATCAATCTCAATCTTTCTCTCTCTATATATGTATAGATTATATATATAGATAATCTATATACTATATATATAAATAATATAGATATGTATAGATGGTAAGGTTGTGTGTGTGTGTGTGTGTGTGTGTGTGTGTGTGTGTGTGTAGGTAATGGCTAAGAAAGAATATTTCCACCATTCAACACTATATGGTAACTACCTAAATCAGATAGAAAATAAAGGTACAAATCTATTATATTAATATTCATTTAGTAGAGCATCTCAATCCTTCTGGTCTTAAAATACAAAAATCCTATTTGCACTGGACTAAAATGTCATTTTAGCTATTATGGATCTAAACACCATACTGTTCTTTCATGGCTTAATAGTTCATTTATTTTTACTGATGAACAATATTCTATGGTATGGATAAACTGTAGTTTGTTTATACATTCTACTATTGAAGAACATCTTTGTTGCTTACTAGTTTTGGTAATTATGAATATGGCTGTTATAAACATTTTTGTGCAGAGTTTTTAAACTCATTTGGATAAATACAAAGGAGAATAATGGTTGGTTTGCACAGTAAGGGTATGTGTAGTTTCTTAAGAAACTTCCAAACTGTCTCCCAAAGTGGCTGTATCATTTTACATCACACCATCAGCAATACATGAGAGAGGCCAAGACACCATCATCTCTGTCCTGGCTGACTGCAGTAACATCCTAACTGGTTTCCCAGCTCTTGTGCTGACCCCCTTCAATCTCTTTTTTCCCTTGTCATATTTTTGATATCTACATTTTCCACTCATTTTATTTTTGAAATAAATTCATGCAAGTATGTTCTGCAGCCAGAATGCCCCTGCTGAAGTATTAGTCAGACCATGTCAATTCCTCATTCACAAAGCTCTACATAGCTCACCACAAGCTTTGTTTCCAACCTCATCTCTTAACCAATTCCCTCTTACTCATTTTTCTCCAGCACCACTGGCTTCCTTGCTGAGCTCAAACCTGCCAAGCTTGCTTCTGCTTTAGGGCCTTTGCACTTGCTGTTCCCTCTGCTTAGAATCTCTTACTCAAGATATTTGTAGGTATCATTTCCTCACTGCATTGAGGTAGAGAGGACTCTCCTGACTGTCCTACTCAAATGGTAAACACCTTTACACTTTTTACCCTGAAACAGACTTCTTAGCACTTACCACTACTTGATGTCATGCCATAATTTACTGGTTTGTTTATTATTTTATGTTTCATTCACTGGACTATAAAGACCTTGAGAGCAGAAACTTGGTCTGTTTTTGTGTATGATTGTATCACCAGCATCTACCATGTATGCCACAGAGAAGATCAACATATATCTATTGAATGACTAGAAAACATCCAATAATATGTGCATGAAACTATTATAAGCTTACCTTTGGGGACTGGAGTGAGGACGGAGATGGTGGAAGTTTTTGTCTATAAGGGCTTGTATGATTTGGTTGTATCCTGGACAAACTCACTGTTGCCAGTCATCTCCTTCACTGCCTTTAGGTTAAGCTGCCCGTGAAAAAACCCTTTACAATTTTTGAAGCAAATTACAGGGAAACGTGTATACTTGGTGTGGAAAAGACATTAATATTTTTTATACTATTTTGAATTAAAGGCAGAGGAAAGAAAAAAATTTAAAAATTGTATGCACTGTTTATATGCTTTTAGTAAATAAAGTCAGTATTTCTCTTAGAATACTAACTCTTTTGCATCCATATATAATGTAGAGTATGATAAGGAATTCCTAATAAAGACATAAATAAATTGTAGTAGATTCATTAAGATAATTATTCCAGTTTAGAGAGAAGAAAATTGAAAGACCAATAAATAAAACCTAAATATAAACAAAATTTTTTAAAAACCTAACAAACTTAATGGTGCATATTTCTACCACTCCTCTCATCTCTCTCCTCCTGATTCCCTTTGCTTTTCCCTGGCATCTGCCTCATCTACTCTGTCTTCCTCTGAGCACCACAGTTTGTTCTTCAGGTCCATTTGATCATGCTAGGTAGGGCAGGAACTATATATAGTATACTCTATATACTATAGTACAATATGGGACAGTAATTCTGGGCTTTTATTAGAGAATTATCAAAAACCACTTTCCATACATTTATCTGAGTACTTACATAAGATAATGTCACATGTAAAACATATGACTACATTTTCCCCTCGTTTTAGTTTTGAAATAAATTTGTGCAAGTATGTTCATAAGGAATCTCAAATACTATAATTAATTTTGCTTTTAAACCATCCAACAGTTCAGTTGCTTTTCATCCTAGTGTTAGATGGCAGACTGAGTATAATTGTTCACATGATGAGTCTTCTTAAAAAATGAAGACTTTTTGTCGAAGAGCCTGAAAACATGAAAAGAATAGTCATAGTGGAATTTCCTTAGGCATTCTTAAAATGCAATCTA